TCTCCCTCTGCCTCATCCTCTCCCTCACCCTCTCCCTCTCCCTCTCCCTCGCCCTCTGCAAGCCTGGCGGCCAGCCCTCACCCGGCGCAGTGTCCCGCCCCAGGCTGCCGCGTCTCGGTGCCCGCGAAGAAGGCGCTCGACGAGGCTGGCGACGTGCTGCTCGCCTGGGAGATGAACGGCGAGCCGCTCCCTCGCGACCACGGCTACCCGCTGCGCGTGCTCGTGCCGGGCCACGTGGGCGTGAGGCAGGTGAGCTCGCTGGTCCGTGAGCAGCCCGCGCCGGCGCGGTGTGGCCGAGGGGCGCTGCCGCGCGGGTCTGCAGGTGAAGTGGCTCACCGAGGTCCAGCTCGCCGAGGAGGACGCGCCCGGCATGTGGAACCGCGGCCTGGCGTACAAGGTCTTTGGACCGTCCGTCACCTCCGTCACCGAGGAGGAGATCGCGGCGACGCCGACGATGCAGGAAGCCGCACCCGCCTCTCGCCCACCCCGTCCGGCCGCCCGTGCACGACACGATCGCAACCTGCGCACGACGCTCACCGCGCGCCGTGGAGACGCGGGGCAGCGCCTCTCCCCGAGCAGACGGCCTGCCCCGAGCCCCAGCCCTCCCCCGACCCCACACCACGCAGGAGATGCCGGTGCAGTCGATGATCGCAGAGCCGCGGCCGAACGCAAAGCTCGACGCGGGTAGCCCGGTCGACGTGCGCGGCGTCGCGTGGAGCGGTGGCGGCCGCGGCATCGTGCGCGTGGACGTCTCGGCGGACGGCGGCGCGAGCTGGCATAAGGCGAGCCGCGGCGCGGCTGGCTGGCACCGCCCCTCGCCCGACCCACGCGCCGCCTCGCTCGCTGCTCCAGGCGACGCTCGCCGAAGGCTCCGAGCAGCCGCCCGACCGCGCGTGGGCAACGGGACTGGATGGCAGCTGTGCGCCGCCGGCCAGACGCGTCACCGAGGCTGCCGCCGCATAGGCGTGGACTTTCTGGGAGGCGGAGGTGCCGGTCGCCGAGGCGGAGGGCGCGACGACCATCATCTGCAAGGCGACCGATGCGGCGCACAACAGCCAGCCGGAGAGCGTCGCCGGCATCTGGAACTTGCGCGGCCTCAACAACAACTCGTGGCACCGCGTGCCCGTCGTCGCGATTGGCGACGGCGACGACGACGAGGCTGCTTCGGAGCCGCAAGCGGCAGCCGCGCCGGCGCCGCCGGCTCGGAGCAATAGTCGGTACGGCGGCGCGTTCGAGTCGTCGGAGCCTCCCGCGCCGACGAGCGAGCCGAGGTACGGGGGCGCCTTCCGCAAGTGAGCTTGCCCGCTACTCCGTTCGCTGCAGCTTTCATCTACATCCGCCGTGTGCCCGCTTCCCGTCACCGGCCTCTCCCAGTCTTCCTCGATGCTTGGCGGCGGGGGGACACCTCTCCCACGACCCTCGAGACACTGAGTTGGGTCTTTTGAAGCGTGGCAGCGCGCACCGAGTGTGTGTACAGTAGACACTTTGCTGTATGCTGAGCGGGATCTACGTTCTACCTTTGACACACATACGGTTAGACAGGTCCGAGAGCTAGCCCCGCGGCCGATTTTCGAGCCGCGAGCCGATAATATAAGTCCGAGATATAGGTTATAGCGGAATCGCATGAAGTTTGAATGTGAAGAATTGAAGTCTAAATAAATAAATAAATAAAACGGACACCTCTGCTAGGAGATGGGTAAAAAGGAACAGGTCCCCGTTGAAGTCTAGCGGGGTTGCCTAACGTTAATCGTTGGGGCGCTAAACAGAGTTGCGCAGTTGTTGGCTGAAATCCTCAACGTTGTTCAAGTGTTCATCCCAGCCCACGCTGTTACTGTTTGTTACTGTTGTTACTGTTGTTCAGCGGCCAGCAAGCAGATAATGGGGCAAAAAAACCGGGTACACCCCGAAAATACCTGGGATTTTCCGGGGGTATTTCCGGGTAGCGTTACCCGCACTGGACACTAGAGATCGTCGTGGGTCACTGCCAGGCCTTCCTTACTGTTGTTCAGTCGGCCTAACGTTAGCTAATGTTGTTGGGGAGCCCCACTGTTGTTCTGTTGTTACTGTTAACACTAGCAACACTGTTCAGCTCCTAACGTTAGGCAACCCTAAGTTGAAGACAGATATTCTCGCTGACGTGTCTGCGGCCTGCGCATCGCCACATGTACATGTGCAGCTGCAGAGGAGAGCTGCGCGCCGCGACGGCCGGCCCCGCGCCGCCAGCCGGAGCCGCCGGGGGCGCTCAGAGGGTGTCCCCCGCCCACGCGTACGAGCCGCGCCGCCGGCGCTCGGTCTACGCCCACTGGCACAGCGCCCGCTGTCACTGGCACAGCCGTGCGTCCACCCAAGACTGGTTGGCTGGCGGCACGCACCCACGAGCGTAGATGTGCGGAAAGCAGAGCCGCCATCCGCCGACCGCCGCATCGACGGCCTCGCGCTCGCCCTCGGCCAGAGCTGTTGTCACGCGAGACCCATCGCGAGCGTAGTAGGAATCCATCGTGGGTATGTCGGCCGGGGGCCGCTTTTGATAAAGCACGCGGTGGAGGAGGCCGACTCGCTGCCGGAACTGCTCCACGCTCGGCGCGTCGAGGAAGTCGACCGACACCGAGTCGGCCTCTATCTTCACCCCTGGCGGCAACGCGTTGCGGCACAGCTGCGGCACAGGGCGGAGAAGGTCGTCGTACATGCCCAGCATCACCCCCGCCCAACGCCGTGGCATGATCCACACCTTGTCGTTCCATCCGCCGAAGCCACCGCACGCCTTGCCATGCACGGCGGTTGGGTCCAGCTCGCCGAGCCGGAGAGGTGAGAACCAGTGGGAGTCCTCGCGCAGGCAGAGCACCCACGCAAACATGTCGCCGCTCGCCGCCTCCGCGGTCGTCACGAGGCCGAACCCAATCTTCTCCTTTAGCAGCCGCGTTGCCACGGTTCGCTGCACAGCGGCTGAGTACCGCGAGAGCCGGCCCGCGAGGCCACGAGAGGAGGGTAGCGTCGCCGTGGGCCGCGGTCCAATCCAAATGCGCCCGATCCGCCCACCCGCGCGGCCGATGGCTTCGCTCAGCGAGTTGGTGAGCGCGACGTCGTCGAGTGCTAGCAGCGAGGGGCTTCCGAGAGGCCGCCGGCCGCGAAACGCTCTCGCCAGGCTTGAGTTCTCGAGCAGCGCAAAATATTGCACGTCAAAGCCTGCTCGAACGAGTGGCGCAACCAGGCGCTGCGGCACAGTCTCAAACATGAGCCGACTGCGTTGGCCGAGCTGCAGTAGCGCGACGCGACCGGCATTGCCTGCGCCGACGTCATCGGCGCCGACTCTGCCCAGTCTGCCCGCTCTGCCGCCGCCGGGTGCTGTGGGGGGATGACTGCACACCAGGGCAGGCGGCGCTGCGGCAAGGGTGACGCCGCCCACGACTCCGACCATGGCCCCGCCAAGCTCCAAACAGGCTGTGCCACCGGCGCTGCACGCGCCGAGGAAGCAGCGCTGACCGCGGAAGAGGAAGGCCCGGCATCCCTCGAGCACCAAACAGAGCCGGCAGCATTGCTCAAAGCTCTCGGCGGTGGCGCCACGCGGCTGGCCTCGCATGCTAGCCGTGGTGTCGGAGGTACCGGCAGTGGCGCCGGACGGCGGGAGGTGGGAGAAGCCGAGGCCTGCGGTTGCGCCGGGGACGCGTTGGCACGACATGAACGTACGTCTGGCGCGGCGGGCGCCTGCGCGGATTCTTTTCCGCTGCGATGGCCCTCGCCCATTTTTTAGAGAGAGAGAGAATTCTTGATACGAAACCACGACGACACACACCAGTCGACTCGCATCGGTTGCCTCCATGAACGGCGGAGCTATTCTCGCGCCCACACCACACCTGGCTCCAACGTGGACACGCCCATAGCTGGGGACACTACTAGGTCACGCATGGCATCACAGAAGTTTTATCTCTGGGCCCCGAAAGGCATCTCTAGCAGTGTCGTTACACATGCCCCCTCCCCTCCTGGGCGCATGCGCCTCACGTCTCGCCAGAGCATAAGCCCTTGGCGTGTGGCGAGACGAGTTTTTCGCCATCGCAGCGAGCAGCAAGCCGCCCGCCGCAAACAGCCGGAGGCCTCGCCGCGGCACTGGCTGCGCCGCGGTCCCGCACCCGTCGACGCAGCTTCCCCCGCGGAAGACCGCGCGTAGCAACGTCTTGACGATCGAGATGAGCGTGCCTGAAGCTCGCCCACCTACTGCCCCTGAGAGTTGGTTATTGAGTGGGATCAGCTCCCCCCCTTGGGATCGAAGCCGCCACAACCTCACACCCAACATCCCAGGCGGGATCAGAAGGGGACTCCACACCGGACACCGCCCGGGCACTCTCTCTCTCTCTCTCTCTCTCTCTCTCGCCCATTTTTTGAGAGACCAGATTGGAGGGCTGCAGATTTAGATGAGGGTGGCGTCCGTGCTCCTGCTCGCCGTCCTCGCGTCGTTCTCGGCAGCCGACGATCCAAGCAAGCCGCACGATCATCAGGGGAAGCTGGACAAGTTCAAGCTCGGGCCGCCGCCGGCTCTCTCGTCGTCTGAGCGCGCCGCTGTGGACGCCGGGAAGACCGTCTCAAAGACAGTGCCAGTGGAGGGTGGTGCGAGGGCGCTCGCGGTGTTTGACGTGGCCGCGCCACCGGCGGTGGTGTGGGCGTGCATCAATGACTTGCCCGCCTACCCTCGGATGGTGCCGGGCGTGCACGCCACAAAGGTGTACGGCGGTGGCACTCGCGGCGGTGTCAAGACTACCCTCGTCACGTGGACGCTCAAGCTGCTCGGGTACAGCGTGACGTACCATCTCGAGTTCCAGCACTCGCCCTCCGCGTCGGCCGCCGCCTTTGCCCTCGATTACTCGCGCAACAGCGACATTGACGACACGGTCCGCGCCGCCGCCGCCGCCGCCCTGCCGCCCTGCCCTGCGTGGCGAGCCTCGCGCCCTCGGCTGCAGGTTGGGTACTGGCACGTCGCGCCACGAAACGGCGGCTCCTCGTCGCGCGTCACCTACTCCGCCGCGCTGCTGCTCAAGGGCTGGTTCCCGAAGCCGGTCGTCGACTTCCTCCTCTCGACCACACTCGGCCGCGCGACGCAGTGGGTGGCGACGGAGGCGCGCCGGCGCGACCCCGTCGCCTCTGCAGGCTCGGCCGTCACCGCCGCCCTCCCCCGGCGCAGGCTGCCACGCGGCTCAGGAAGGAGGGGACCTCCGCAGCTCCCTCCCACGGACGCCGCTGCACTGGCGTCTGGCCCTTCCGCCGCTGCGCGCCGCCGCCTGCCCCGCCGCCGCCGCCGCCGCCGCCGCCGCCGCGGTTCGGCTCGGGCCAGACCGCCTTCATCGCGGCGGTGCCACTGCTCCTCGCATTCCGCACCTTCTTCCGCTGAGCAAGCCCGTCGGCTCTGTGCACAGTTTCACAAAAACCGTGTGCTCGCTCACACTCCGTTCATGCGTCCGAGGGAAACAACCAACATTCTCTGCAGCAACGAGTAGCTGGGTGTTGAAACAGTCCCGGGATTATCTGAAGCGTGGCGTATCTCCAAAATATAAGGAAACTCGTACGCCGGGCGTCCGGTCGAGGTGGCTCGTCGCTCGAGCGAAGTGGTCCTCTCACCTCTCGAGACCGCGCCCGCGCCGCCGGGTCTGCGCACATTTTGCGGGCGTCCCGGTATAGATCGAGCAAGGATGCCGCTGCGGCGCGTCCATCCCGTGTTGTTGCATTGTCCCTGCCAACATGCACGCGAGTACTCGAGGGAGTGTGATGTCATCCCATGAGACCGCTCGTCAGCGCCGCCAGCTCCGAGTCCTCGACATCGAGCAGCGTGAAGGCTGCCGCCTGGTGGGACAGCGGAGAGGCGCTTAGAGAGTGCGACGACCTGCGCTAGCGCTCTCCCTGAGAGGCGCGGCCTGTGCACTGGAGGATGGCAGCGGCGCGGATGGAGCGAGAACGGCAGTGATGGCGTGCCCAGAGCTGAGGCTCAGCTCCGCCACCGTTGCCTCAGGCGTCAAGGCACGCCCGTCCACCGAGTGAAAGACGACCGATTCCGGCTGCACACCTGCCCATCTGCAGAAGCAGCCGATGATCCGCCGCAGCTGGTGCGCGGGTGTCGTTTTCACCATCGCCGGCCCACAGAGCTGAGGCGATCCGCCACTGCCGAACAGCGTGACGGCCAGGAGGACGTCAGGCATGGCGGGGAGGGCCAGCTGCAGTGACGCGTGCGCCTCGTGCAGCCGCAGCGCAAGACCGAGTTGTAGGGCCTCTGTGGGCTCGCACCTCAACCTCTCACAGGGCCAGCGCACAGCGCCATTGGAGGTATTTTCTTCTCAATAACAAGGCTGTGAAGGAAGAAATCTTTTCTTTGCCCGCCGAAAGAAAGCCAATTCCCTTTGGGCCCTCGGGGAGGCCTGCGGGCGGCCTTCTCTCGAGGTCTCGAGATACACAAAGCGGCCAAATCTTTTCCCTAACTCTTGAGATTCTTTGTGCTACCGATCTTTGAGATGTAAATCTGCCCTTTTATGTGGAAGACGGCTAGTTAGTGGCTGCTAGTCCCCCATCGGGAGGACGACCCCGGCTAGTCGCCGACCACACCCACAAAGAACCCTGCACAAAATCGCACGCGGCGGCGGGGACCTGTTCCTTTTTTACCCATCTCACAGTAGAGATGTCCGTTTTTATTTACTTATTTCACAGGAGCAAGAGGTGATGACGACGCCGAGTGCCGTGCGCGACTTGTGCCGAGGCGAGATACGTGGGGCGTGGCCCGCGGCCGAGTGGCGCGCTTTGGCCTTTGCCCGGTGGGAGTGAGAGAGCCCCAGCTACCCCTCCCCCCCGCCAAGCGGCGAGAGAGGGTGAGAGTTTGCTTGGCAGCGCCATGGCACACCTTTGTTGATTGATTGCCCCTCTTTAAAGCTCGGCACTCTGAGGCGGTGATGTCGGCTCTGGTAGCTCTCCTCCTCTCGACGCCGTCGCTGCGCTGGTGCCGTGGCCACCACGTATCTTTGGAGACACACACACACACACACACACACACACACACACACACACACACACACACACACACACACACACACACACACACACACACACACACGCGTATCTTTGGCTCACGCCAGAAAGAAAGAAAGAAAGAAAACAGACACGCCGAGCCAGGGCGCTGTTTGTATCTTTGTGTTTCTTCTGAGTGACATGGCGATTTCGACCTCGGCGACGCTGCCCACGCCGCTCAACGCGGACGTAGTCGCCTTCTGCCCGGAGTCTGGGCTCCACCACGTGCTCGCATGCGGCTGCTACGAGCTCGACAACACGCAGCAGCCCGCCCGCCGGCACGGGCGACTTGCGCTCGCCTTTGTCGACCGCGCCGGGAGGCAGCTGGTGGAGACGAGCGCCGTCGAGGGCATCGGCGTGCTCGACTGCAGCTGGCTGCAGACGTCGCGGCTGCTCCTCTCAGCCGCGACGGCGGCCTGCGACACCCGTATCTACCAGGTCCACAAGGGTGCCGATGGCACAGCAACGCTTGCTGAGGAGGCATGTGCGACGATGCCGTGTGCGGATGCGGGCGACGCGTGCATGGCGCTCGACTGGTCGGCCGACGCCTCCCGCGTCGCCGTGACGAGCACCGCGGGCCGCGTCTATCTCGGCGAGTTGGGGCAGTCGTCCGGCGGCTGCAGTGGGCTGTGCGGGTCCGCGTCGTGGCGAGCGCACGAGCTCGAGGGTTGGGCCGTCGCCTTCGACCCGCGCGACTCGAACACGCTCTACACGGGCGCCGACGACGCGCAGCTCAAGCGGTGTGACCTGCGGCCGGCGGCCGGCGGCGGCGAGGAACCTTGGAGGAAGCCTCTCGGAACCTTCCCATCTAGGTGGGACCTGCGGGCGGCGGCCGACGGCGGCGAGCCCGTCGCGACGGCGACCAACCGGCGGTCGCACGGCGCCGGCGTGTGCTGCGTCTCTCCGAGCCGGCTGCGGGAGCATTGCGTCGCGACGGGCTCGCACGACGAGAGAGTTGCGCGCCTCTTGGAGGAGCCTTCTCTGAAGCGTCGCGGAACCGTCCTATAGGCTCGTACGACGAGACGGCGCGCCTCTGGGACGTGAGGCAGCTCCGCGCGCCCGTGAGCGAGCTCGGCCTCGGGGGCGGAGTCTGGCGGCTCAAGTGGCACCCCGAGCGCGCCGACCTTCTGCTCGCCGCTTGCATGCACGCCGGGTTCGCGGTGCTGTCGTCCGGCGGGGCGGAGGCCGCGGCCGGCAGCGAGGGGCTCTCGCTGGTCGCGCGGTACGAGGCGCACGGCCTCGGAGGCGCACTGGGCTACGGGGCGGACTGGGCGCACGGCGGGGCGCTGGCAGCCGCGACGTGCTCCTTTTACGACCGCGCGCTGCACGCGTGGACCCTCGAGGAGGTGTAGGGTTCGACTCGTTGCGGTCGTGATCTCAGTGAGAGAGCGCGTGTCCCGATTCTCTCTTTAGTGGATCACATGCGCTCATATACACTGGAACAAATAAAAGGGAGTGTACTTAAGGAAAAAGAAAACGAAATCGCTAACGCCAGCGCGCGGGGCCGTGGGTTGTTGTGCGAGTATATGGGACACGATGTCTCAAATATGAGGGGTTTTGACTCCTACCGGCTCCTGACGCTATCTCTGGCAGCTCTAATGACCAGGATCAGTAGTGTTGTGATAGAGGGTGCCCATACTAGCGCAGGAGCTCGCCACACTCGCCCGGACCGTCCCCTTCGGGGGCCGGTTCCGCAGCCCGCGAGAGCCGACAGCGGGGCCGTGCCGCGGGTGCCTACTGCCGAGTGCCACAAACACTGCGCCGTCCCGCCATCACCTACAGGCTGTCTTGTGTGATGGTTGGGATGTCCAAACGCCACCATCTTGGCTCTTGCGACCTCAAACCCGCGAGCTGTATGGGTGGTCCTGACGTCGACAGACGCCCGAGGACCACGGTGAAGCTGAGCCGGAACGCGTCGACAAGTCTCGTCTGAGCCCGTGGCGGTCGCCGGCTGAGTCGCTGTGCACGGGCCGGTACCTCAGGCGTCACCTCCGCAGCCTCAGTTCTCAAACTCCACCACCTCAGCCAGGACGCCGTCGGTGGCACGCTCGGCGGCGTACTTTCTGCAGCTCCATCTCGAGTACGGCGTCGAGTCTACTCACTCCTGTTGGATACACGCACTCCCTGGGTCCCAGGGAGTGCGTGTATCCAGCAAGCGGTGCGTCCCAGCAGCGCGCGCAGGCTGCGGAGCTGCAACAAACTCGAGACACGCTTTTTTGGGACATTTTCGACGCTTTTGTCCCATATACTCGCACAACAACCCCCGTCCCGTTTTGATCTCTATCGGTCAGTGGCGCGGGGCCGAGAGAGGCGAGAGCGACCCGAGACCGAGAGACAGAGAGCCGAGAGCCGCCTCGGGGTGGAGGGCGGGCGGGCGTTTTGAAAAACAGAAAACAGAAAACAAGAGGGGGCCGGGGGGCCCAGTCCCCCCACTGGGATTAGAAAATACGCGCCCCAAGGGGGCCAAGGAGGCGGCGCGGGGAAGCAGCATCAAGTGAGAGCAGGAAGGATGGCGCTTAGGGTCGGCTTGAACAAGGGTTTCCAGGTTTTAGATCAGTATTGGTGTCGGCACACATCCCCACATGAGGTCAGCGGCGCGCAGTGGCCGACCCCCCCCCAGCAGGCAGCAGCAGAGCTCTGCTGCTTTGGGGGGGTCAGACCCCCCCTCCCGGCCCTAGCAGCAGAGCTCTGCCTGTGGGGTGTGCTGGCATCTCTGTACAGACAGCTGTAAGTAGCATGCGTTCCAGTGGCGAGAATTTATGGTCGGCACCATAATCAGTGTGGTCTCACCGGCGGGCCCTCCTACTGCCAGCCGGGGGGTGCGGGGCACGCCAGCCTCTCTTCTACGCCTCTCTCGTGCCTCGCGGCGCCTCTGCTTCAAGGAGGGAAGATACGGCTCTCGCAGCTGTGGCACAGCTGAGAGCACAGCGGGCTGTACAAGTCCATCAGATATGGTTCCCTATGTTCGCATGCTCGTCGTTGGTGATATCGACATAACGTGATATCATAACGTGATATCCGCGCGAGGTCATACGCCACAGGATAGCAATCACTCGGTGATGAGACTACTATCATGTAGGCGCGACGCTCTGACACCGAGTGTTGCTCGACGCTGCGACACCGCCGAGTACCGCGTGCAGCGCTCAGCCTCGCGGAGTACACCTCTCGCTATCATCACGCTTCGCGGCGGTCGGGCTGCTTGATTACCATTTGTCGGAAGCCACCCATCTCTGCTGCTGGAGGAGAGCTTCCGATAATCATAGTGGGTTCGCGATGGACCAGGGGGGCGGCGGCGGCGAAGAGACGGGAGCTCGGTCCAGTGTTCTCTGCTGCTGCCCCCCCCCAGCGCTCTGCTGCTTGGGGGGTCAGACCCCCCCCCCGTCAGCAGGGACGGGCTTAGAAGTGCAGGGGGGGTACCGAGCAATGTGCGGCCGCTCCTGGCTGTTGCTCGGCTGCTTGCTGTTGGCAATGGCATGTGTGTTGGGCGCGAAGGGTGGATTCTGCTTTCTGGAAAGGAGCGGCCCACGCGCACAGAGTCACACAAACAATTGCGCCGTTGGCGGTAGACGGGCCGACCGTAGACCGTTTTCGCATGAACGGCGGTAGCGCGCGATACTGTCCACTATGAAAGTGTGGACCCGCGTGAACAGCAGCTCCTGACCACGGCGCCGCAGGCGCCTGTTGATAGGTCCAGGTGATAGCCCTGAATAGGTAATGCATACGTCTAGTTGGGCCTCGGATCGCCCGACCTCGTCCCGGTGCTCTGTGGTCGGATTTGTGACGCCGCCGCACCGCGCCGCGGCCGGGGGCCCTCCGGAGGCCGAGGATGGCCGTGACGGACCGGGACGAGCTCTGGGAGGTTCAGTGTCAGTGTATATATTGTAGAGACCAACCATGTCCACAATATCTCTCAGTCTAGCTAAGCCTGGGAAGGCGATGCCGGGGCCGTACAGCAGCTTGATGATGTTTCGCCGGCGTGCGTCACGGAGCGGTGCCGGACGGGCGGTCCGTGGGAGGAAAACGAGGGACAGCGCCGACGGCGCTCTGATTCGACTTTTAACTCCAAAACAAAGCCTACCGCACGCGCCATAGGCACTCGGGATTTTGTCAGATCGGCGTGTTCACGCCGGGATCGTGTCCCTCACAACCTGCACAGACTTTACAAACACAACGAGGCTTGGACAGTAGGTTTTTGCTCGCCTTCCCTGGGACCCCGGGGTGTTGCGTGACTGTCCCTGTGCGATTTCGTTTATGTGTCGTACGCGAGGGTTCTTGTGTTGTGTTTTGTGGAGAGAGGCTGTTTTAAGAATTCTTTGCTCAAATCAGACTACTGTGAACGGCGGCAAAAAACGGCGGTCAGCAAAACGTGGGCGCGTATCGAGAGTCGGCATCCTGGTCAGCCTCGAACCGCTGCTGAGGCCGAAAAAGGACGAGGCGGGCACGCCCGTCGAGCTGCTCCTCACGAGGCGAATCCATGGAGTGTTTGTCGGAGTGGCGTATCGCTGCGTGCATCCCGCCGTGCCTTCCTGCTCGAACAAGCCTCCCCACGTCCGCCAAGTCCACGCATGATGACGAGGGGGGACCCGCGTGCCCGGCAAGGACATCAGAGTGGGCAGCAAACGTGATCGCTAGGCGGTGGCGCGCGGCCCGCTCCTCCGTGCTTCGAGAGTCAACGAGAACCAGCGTCGGCCGCACGTCTCGCACAAACATTCTCGACGTGATTCAAGACTTTGAAGAGCGCGAGGCGCTCTTCTACCGCCTGCTCGAGGAGCATTCGTCATCAAGGTCGGACCTCTTCTGTCGCATGACCAGCACAGAGGACGTCCACCGGCCCAAGAGCCCGGTTAAGTCGGTCTCTGCGCATTCCTATGGCGGCCCTTCTCCACAGACGTCCGGCGTCAGCCTAATGGCCGCTCACCGCTCCTCGCGCCGATCCTGGTCCTCACGATACAGTGAAGGTTCGCTCGACGAGTCCCTGAGGTCCGACGAGGACTGGATACGGGCAACGACGCCGCCGACCACTCCGCCCCTCAGCCGAGCCGACTCGGACGCGTCCGCCCGCTCCACCATCCTAGGTCGAGCTCGGCTTGGGTGAGTTAGAACTGTAGTAGCCAGTTGATGGGGCATGGACACTCTCTCGAGGGCACTCGCTCGAGGGCTGGGGCGGGGGGCGGGGGGGCGACACCGGAGAATGTGCATGTGTGCTGTGGGGCCGAACCAATTATCCAAATAGCTTTTTATTCCAATATATATGTGTGTAATATGTGCGAAACACAAGGGGAGTCTCCCCCGCTGGTCTCCTCCTTCCCATAGCATTGTTTCTTTTCTTTTGAGAGCAGAACGCCGGGTTTGTCTTGTATGTGCATGTGGGGTGTGTTCAGTTGAGGGGGCGGCGGAAGGTGGGGGCGCGCAAGGTCGGAGGCTCAATCAACCATTCACCTCACGTCGGCTCGTCGGGGTTGGAGAAGGGGAAGGGGGAGTCTGGACGGTCGGCGAGGGGGTCGTAGCAGGCTGGGCGTACGGGGTAGCCGCCACTTTCCTGCCTCAAAAGGGCGGGGCTGTCCCGGAAAGTGAGAAACGCCGGGCAGCGTGGTGCACAACTTCAACCTCCCATACGTGTTTGTCTCGCTCCTTTCCTCGGGCTGTTCCATCTCCCCATCTCCTTCCAACCTAGGCGAGGCGGGGGGGCGCGCGGGCGCGGAGTGCGGTGTGCGGTGTGTGCAGTGTAAATAAATAAATAAAGAAAACGGTCAAACTCTGAGACGAGATGGGATTTAGGGACGTGTGTCCCCGCCCTGCACGATCTTGGTGTGAGGGATCTTCAATCGTGCAGTGTGGGTGTGTGCGTGTCGTTTATTATTAACAACGAAGGGCGGCCGACTGCACGCTAAAGGCTACACACTCGCACACCACTTGCAGAGTGGCTCTCCCAGGCGCTCACCCCACGGCAGAGGCACGCCAGCCCTGGGCAGCCGGCCGTCGCTCGCCTAAGCGCCTAAGCGGCCTAAGCGGGGGGCGCTTAGGGTGCTTAGGCGCTTAGGCAGCCCTTGCGAGCGTGGCGGCGTCGTAAATACAAGTGACTCCGATGACACTGACAATGCTACTGCTAGTGTCATCGCTCAGAGAGAGCAGCCTGACGCACGTCGTGACTGTCTACCACTGGCCCTGGTCGCACACTGCCACTGAGCTGCGCTGGTGCGGAAACTCAGCATCAGGTCGAGAGTCGAGGAAGGTCGCGGAAGGTCGAGTCGAGGAAGAGAACACAATCAGGGGCGGGGCCGGTAGACCGGTCCGCAGCGCCATATACGTGGCAAAGGACGCGAAAAGTGCCCACTGAAGCTTCTGCACCTTGACTTCAGGTTCAGCTGTGATGATGCCCACAGCACCAGCAGCAAAGGCGGGCGGGCCGACCCCGCGGCCATCGCCGCCGTCGCCGCCGCCCCCTCCGCCGCCGCCCCCTCCGCCGCCGCCGCCACCTTGGGCTACATCGCCCGCGCCGCCGTTGCACACCGGCTCTCGTGCTCATTCAACGGCGCCTCGAGTTGCAGGCCGGCGGCGCTGACGTTGTCGTGGTCGGGCTGCCCAACGTCGGCGCGGGAGGGAGGGGGCAAAGAGGTTATGGAGAGCGCGAGAGCGAGCGCCAAGAGAGCCCAGATTCTGAGCAGCAGCCCGCCTTGTCATGGGCCCACTTGCCGACGTGCGTCCAGCTTCCACCACAGGACGAACGCCGAAGTTTGCTCTCCGACGCCGTGCCGAGCGAAACCTTTTCCTTCGAAGCCCGGCGACGTAGCCGGGCGAGCGGAATAGGGCAGCCCTAGAGAGCACCTTGAGGCCGTTCAATAGAGCCCGTGTTATAGTCGAGGGTCGATCGCCGGCCGGCGCAGTGCTGCTCTGACCGCTCCGCCGGGCCGCCTCCGGGCCACCGCCGCGGAGACGTGCACATAGGCAAGTTGGTATTTTCATATATGAACTTCAAAATAACATTGGCTAGTCTAATCCTACTCATCACAACTCGCCAGAAACACCCCCACACTATAGGGTCATTGTGTAGCCCTGCTTAGAAGGAAAAGGTTTTCTGCAAGTGCGAAGTGGTCCGTATGGCTCACCGTGTAGTCGGCCAGGCGCTCTCAATACTCAAAACCGCGGAAAAGGGAAATACGATATGCGTCAGGTTCTCGGTACAAGTGTTTCTCTCCGATATAGATAGCATATACGTGTGAGTTGTGTCGTTGTGTGGGAGTTTAGGTGTAAGGTGCGCCCCCGGCCCCGCCGCGCCCGCGCGGGCCGCACACATTCTCACCCACAATCTCACAGAGAGGCAGCGCGACCCCGTGCCGCCATCACATCAGCATACTGGAGAGCGAGATGTGCACCGCTCACCCCGTTGCGCCCGGGTAGTCCTCGTCGACCGCCTCCTCCTCCTCCTCCTTCTCCCGGCGAGGCGGCGCAGTGGCGAGTCCGGGGTCTGTCCTCAGCCGGAGCTCGTCCTGCGTCTCACGCACGAGCACGAAGGCTCCCCCGGGCTGGTTCTGCAGAATCACGAGCAGCTCGCCGTCGAGGAAGCGAACGTCGAAGAAGGCGGGGGAGGCGTCCGAGTCGGCCCCTGCCGCATTGCTCCCCGGCAGGCGAGGCAGCGGGAGAGAGAGCTGAGGCAGCAGCCGCGACACGTCGATGCCGAGCAGCTCGCGCGCCTGCGGGACAGGTCCGGAAAGTGAGGCACAACAACGCCGCCTCCCGTCGACAGCGGTCCCTCGCGCGCCTCGACGCCGACCGTCTCGAACGTCAGTCCGACGCGGCTCGGCGAGCGAGCGCGCGCGCGCGTGCCGACCCTCACGCGAGTTGTCGTCGGCAGGGCTCCCGCGGGGAGGAGGCTGAGGGCGCGAGGGTAAAACTCAATCACGTTGACGACGCGGTCCGGCAAAGAGATCTCCTGGCTGATCGGCCCGACTCCGGCGACCGGGTTCACGTCGAGAGACAGCACGTCGGTCGCATTGGTGTAGACGAGCCGCCAAACGCCGTCCAGCGGCCCATTCGCCACCGTCCCGTCGCTCCAGCCGGCGCTCTCGAGACCGCGGCCCACCCATCGCTCCGCTGCATCGCTCCCTGTGACGCCGGCAGTCGGCTCCTCGCACGGGTCGACGCGGCAAAGCCGATCAAGCAGCGAGTCGACGCTGGCTCGGTCGAGCGCACTCGCGCCAAAGCCGCGGTTGCACGCCGCGCAGACACGCAGCAGACGCCCCTTGAGGGCGTCCCGCTCGAGCGCGGCCTTGAGCGAGTCGCGACTCTCGGTGACTGCATCAGTGGCTCCGTCCGGCACATCGTCGACTCGGAGACTGCAGTCAGACGCTCGTCGGCGCTGCAGGCACGGTGGCGTCAGAGGCGGAATGACAAAGGTTGATGTCAGCACGATGGTGATCAGCATGTAGGTCTAGTTATGTGGCTTCGATTGTCGCACGAGAGCCTGGCGAGTAGTCTTGGCACACGCACGCACTCTCGAGGTCTCTTGGAGCAGAGCCCCGGCGAGCCCAATGGGTCCTCGGAGAGGGTACCCTGGGTGGGCGGGGCCTCTACTCGCCAGCACGAGAGCACAGTCGTTTACCACAAAAAGAATTTTTCGTGGCGAATGGGGACCGGGGGCGTGCCGTCCTCCCATCCCTCCCTTGGGTTGTCTGTTTTCTTTCTCTCTTTTTTATGGGGACCCTCTCCTCCTAGAAAGAAAGAAAGAACGGACACTCCAAGGGAGGGATGGACGGCACGCCGCCACCACACAGGGATTTTAAGGAGAGGAGTGTGATGCGCTAGCCGTCGCCCACCCTTGGGCGTCTGCCTCTTTCTATCTCTCAACTCTTCGCAGTCCCCTCGCCGATTCTCGCTGCAACCTTCAATGCCACCTCGCGGTCGTCCCACTCTCGTCGTTCTCTCCCCATGAGCCATGTCGCTTCGTTCCTCTGTCGCGTCGCTCTCCTCTGCCTCGTTCTGCGACGTCGCCGCCGCCTGCCGATCCCTTGTTCTCGCGGCTTCTTTCGCCTTTCGGCGCAGCTCCGCCCTCCTCGAGGCAATATTTTATGGCCCCTCTCGAGTTTATCGAGCTATCTCCTCGCGCAAGGACGACTCTTCTGACGCCCACTGCGATCATTTGCCGCCAAGTCATGTCGTTGCTCAGGTCCACTCTCTCTTCGAACACTCACCCTGCCATCCCTCGTTTGCGCTGTCTTTTTCTTTCTTTTCGGCCGGGCAGGAGTGCGCCGACGCGGACGGTGCAACTCAAAAAGTGGTACGAAGTGCTCTCTCGAAGTTGTGCCCCCCCCAAAAAACTCTGACATTTTACGAACTCCTTGGCGACGCGCGCGTTGCGTCGCCAAGGCTCAGCGACCTCGGTCGTACAATCGGCCGGCTGCGCGGGTTTTCGGCGAGTTTCCCGCGCACCGGCCACGACGGACCAACCAGACCAAAAATCGCGACGCTCGCGCGCAAAAATCAGCACGGAATCAACGCTCACGACGCTCTCGATGATCTCGAGGATTCGAGGATTTGAGGATGGTGAGGGGTGAGGGTGAGGTGTGCCCCCCCCCTCCCCCCCCGCCCGGCCTCGAACCCGCAGCCAACCGGCCCGAATGCGAACCTCTGACCGCTACGCCAGCCACCAATGCACAAACCTCGACGCCACAAATTTCTGAACCCCATACACCCATGCACTCAGCTCACAATCAGCACCCTATACAGTATGATTCCCGCGCGTCTCGCGCCCCAACTGACAACTCACCATTGTCCCTCGGACACCACTCTCCAGCCGCGCTACTCGCCCACCCACCGCTCTCGCATGACATCTCGACAATCCTCATCTCTGGGCCCAAGACTCCTAACCACTTCCCCTGCTCGCCCAGGACCACGAAGCGCCGCCCGCGCGCCCATTACCCCCCAATCAACCCACGCTGTCCCTCAATCGCCACCCGCCAGATGTACTGCCCTCGCCCACCCAATACTCTCACCCTCCTAACCCGGACAGTCCAGGTACAGGAAAAGCGGGGAGCGGGGCCCGATCCAAGGAGCACCCCGTCGGCCCGGGAGGGCTGTGAATTTCGGCGCGGGCGGAAGGCTGCCTGCAGACGCTCAGCCCCTGGCTGAGCTGCCGAATCCTCCCGGCTAATCCCCTGACCTGCCGCCTGAAACGGGACAACATTACACCACCTCACACACACTCCCCCCTCAGGGCTAAGCAGTGCGCAAGTCCACCCGAACTCTAGGCGAGGCGTCGACCACTCCTTCGGAATAGCTCTGTCAGTGGCTGCACTAGACGCCCAGTGATGGCGCGCGGCGCGGGCGGATGACTGGAAGAGAAAATGCGGAGATGCTAGCTCGCAGGTAGATGTGCTCAGCCAAGGGTCGGGGATGAGGGGAATGTGTCAGTGTGAGGGGTGCACCAACCGCAGAGCGTTGTGTTTTGCCTTTGAAAACTGAACAGTTTTTTTTTCGAAGTTGTGCCCTCCCCTTTTCGCGAGCGCTTCAATATTCAACAAGGCTTTAGTAGAGCCATTCTAGGGGGGACAGTCGAAGCTCCACGCCCCGCCCTCCCCATCTCCCCGCCGCCGCGCCCGTTAGGGCGGGGCGACATATCGCACGGACCTCCCCGACTCACACGCCCCCGACCCGCCACTCACTTTCACCTGTCTGGCACAATCTCGATCTCCACCAGCGGCTCCATCTCCCCAGTCCTGCTGCTCACGGACTCGCGCATGCAGCAGCAGAGCCGGCGGCCCAGCCCCGCCAGCCTGCGGGGCATCACTCGCACCACGCGGGAGAGCCAAAAGGAGCAGTCGACCACGCTCGCCTGGCCGGAGCCGCGGTGGCGTGAGCCTAGGCGGCGTGTGCAAAGGCCGGGGGGCGGAGCAAAGGGAGGAGAGCGGGCCCGCCTGCGCACGCTGCGACGCGGTCGCGGCGAGGGCGACGTCGAAGCCGCAGCGGTCCCCGACGCCAGCCTGCACGCATCGGCGGCGGCGGGAGGGGGTTGCTTCTGGGCGGCGGGAGGGGCCGGACGACAGGGCGGAGGGCGAGGGAGGAAGACGGGAGCGGGCGGAGGGGCGGGTGGTTGCGGCTCTCGCCTCTTGCAGCGTGTCTCGCATCAGAGAGAGGGACGAGTCGAGGATCGGCACCTGACGGTGCCGCGCCGTCGCCATGTTGTGAGGGGCGGGGAGCAGCGGCAGGGGCGGGAGCTGTCTGTGAGCATGTCTTGCGAGCAGTCTTGTGAGAGCACCTCGCCGGTCCCCGTCCAGAGGAGGAGCTGCGCGCCAGGCACGCGCCGCAGCAGGTAGGCCACCTCGTCGAGATCCTGCTCGGCGAAGCGGAACGAGGCCGAGAAGACGACCTGGCGACAGGCGAGGGGCTGGGAAGGGGGGCGGGGTGGCCGGGGCGGGGCGGGTGGCTAGCGGCGCGAGGGGCTGGCGGAGCACCTTCTGGCGGTCAGTGGCTAGGAATGTTCTCGGCAGTGTCTGCGAATATCTCGGGAATGTGTCTTGCGCCTGCTCGCCCGGCAGGCTGTGGCGGGCACAGAGCTCCTCCATGGCGTGGACATCCTCGGCGGTGTACGCCTCGTCCGGCCTGCACTCGGGCGGGTGGGGAGCCGCTCGGGGGCCGAGGAGGCGGGAGAGGAGGGCGGGCGGGGAGGGGTAGAGGAGGGCCGGCTGGTGGGCGGAGGGCTTGGGAGGCGGCGGAGGGGCGGAGGGGCGCCCGAGGGGTCGGACAGCCCAGCCGAGCGAGAGGAGGGCCCACGGGCAGTGCTGCTGCGGGGGCACGGGCACGGGCGCGTGGTGAGGGCGCGTGGCGGAGGCAGCCGGGGCGCCACCCGAGCAGGGGCGCCCGGCAGAGCGGCAGGAACGAGTCGGCCGGGATCGCGACCCGCTTCCGGCTGTTTGGGCCGGGCACAATGTCGGCGTTGAGCCAAACGGCCTGCGGCGGCAGAGAGCACGGGCCCGTGGGTCTGTCCCGTCCACAACCACCCACTCACTCCCAGCGGCTGCGCGCCTGCCCGTTTGAGAGCAGCTGCAGCTTGCGCGCCGCCAGCAACTCCAGGCACGGCTCGACCGCAGCCCAAACCTTGAAGTCCAGCTTCAGGTGGCGGTGGCCGTCCGCGATGCAAGCGTCGAGGAACGCCTCGAAGGTCAGATCCGAGCTGCGCGCCGGCGGATGTGCCATCACGGGCCGGCCGGCTGCCATGATGATGTCCGACTCGATGGCTGTGATGTGTGGCGAGGAGAGCGCACGCTCGAGGCGTGCGCAGGAACAGCACGAGTGAGCCCACGTCAGCTGCGATGCGCGAGGATGATGCACGGCCGGCGTCAACGCGGACGACGCCATCGATCGTCGAGGGAAGTGCCGCTGGCGATTGAGCGTGAAAGTGCCTCCAGACTTTCTGCGCACAGGATACGCGGCGATTTCGCGGCGGCGGCAGCGAACTAAAGAACTCTGGGCGCGGACGCCGAAAGTGGATCGCTGTGTGGTACGTAAGTGCCACACAGCTTCACTTAAAAAGCAGTCCTCCTCCGGGAATGTACGAAAACCAAAACGTAAGACATACATTGAAAAAGAAATCCACCGGCCGCTGGTGGGTGGTGCGGCGGCGCGAGCGAGCGCGATGCCAGTCTCGACCTTAGGGCGATCTGTCCTCACCGTGGGCTGCTCCGCGGTCTACATGTACCACGTCTATTCGAACATGCCTGAGGAGCGGCAGGCGGCGATCCAGGAGGCTGGCTGGAAAACTGTCGGCTCATTCACCGACGACCCTTACGGCAGCACCGAGCGCCTCGTGAAACGGGTCGGGGGAGGGCTTGGCCAGCAGGAGGCCTCGCTTATCTTTGCCTGTGTCTGCTGCAAGATCCTCGCCGTGATCTTCCGTCGGAAGCACGAGCGCTCTCTGGCGGCGGAAGAACAGCCCGCAGAGGAAGAGGAGGCCGAAAAGCCAGCGGCCGGCAGGCGGCCAAAGAAGGGGAAGGCGAAGGATGCGAAGAGCTCCTAGGGCCTCGACCAGCCCGTACATGTGTAATCCTCTCTTTGCACCCACCACCTTTTGTGAGATGTCGCGAAAGACGGGGTTGGCGGGGCCTATTTTGACGGCGTTTGCTGGGCGTTTGAGCTCTGTCCTCTCCGTGTAGACTATAGCTCTCATCACAACACAGCGTACACACCTCACAAAAAGGTGAGACCCCGGTTTCACATTGATTGAGCTTGCTGTCCCTGACCTCATAAGGATGTGTGGTGCTGTTTTTGCCGGAGGACGCCCCTAGCCACATGGCCGGAGCCCTTTCGTCACACAACCGCACAAATCTAGCGGTTGATCAATGATAAGACACAAGAATTTTCCAACGAAACTCTCTCTCGCACAACACTAGGCACGGGACTGGCGCGCACTGGCACACTAACACAGAAACAAGAAATTCAGAGTCGAATACACACCTCCCTTCCCGTCCCGCCGAGCACTGTGCACGGCGGCTCCGCGCAAAAGGCGGACCGATTCGTGTTGAAGTTGCAGCGGCCCTCCCACTCGCCGTCGGCGAGGACGAAGCAGCCCGTGATGTTTGCGCGCGACCTAGGGCCGGTGAACTTTTTCCCGAGGATCCCGCACGCGCGGCCGCACTCATCCGCGTCAATGATGTCGGCGATGCCTGTCCTGGCGCACGTGGTGGACGCGGGGACCTCAATGTACGCCTGGCGCGGCGGCTCCGGGGCCGGCGTATAGTTGGCGGGCGGCGGCGGCACGACCGGCCGGGTCTTGTAGAGACGGACCTCCTTGATGGCAATCTCGCGATCGCTGGAGCGGAAGAAGGTGAGCACATTCTCGCCCCTTCCCAGCCAGACCTCAACCGGCTGCGTCTCGTTCCAGTAGCCGACCGTGTATGCCACAGGCAAGCTCTGCCCGCTCGAGGCGTTGACGGAGACGAGCAGGTCCTGGTTGATGTGCCACGTGCTGATGTTGGCCGTGAGGTAGTGACGGCCCGCATCCTGCTCCGCCACCATCAGCTCGTACGAGAAGGAGGAGGAGAGGGGGCTGGCGAGGCTGCCTCTCTGGTGCAGCAGCTGCTCGCCCGCGTCGAAGCTTGGCATGACCACAATCGCCGCGGACGCGTTCCTGCTCGTGTACGCCACCGCCGGGAGCCGCACCGTGCCATTGGCGTCACGAGAGATGTTGGGCGCCGCTCCCTTTCTCTCCCACCTCGCCAGGAGCGCCTCCACCTTGGTCGGCACCAGCGTCGCATTCATCTGCCGCGCCTGCGCAGGCGTAACTTCGACTGCGAGCTTCTTCTTGTACAGCATTAGAGCACCCCAAAGCCCTCCCTCGCCGTAGCCGCTCCTCGCTCGCGGAGACCAACCCGCGCCCACCGGCGCCTCTTTGCGGGCAAGCGCGGCCCAGCCCCCGCGGAGCACACCTTGATGTGCTCCTCGAAGCTCTCGCGACTGCACGTCCAGGTGGAAATCGGGCCCACTTCGCTGCTCTCTCCGCTTGCTCCAGTAACTGTACTCCCAATCGGCGCCCAGCAGAACGTGCCATCCGTTGGGCGACCAGCAAGACATGGCAGCGTGCCCCGGCTGCGTCACTCCCCAAGTTGGTAGCCCAAACGCCTTGCGCGCGAAGCGACCGAAGAAGGCACGCGGCCCGCACTCTCCGCCCGCTGCCGGGATCTCGGCGTAATGTCCCGTGCATATGTTGCCGTGCGCGTGGCAGTGCGGCTTGCCATACGCTACATCTGTGCGCACGGTCCGCGCGTAGCGCCACGAGTACGCGGTCGCGATGTGGTCGGGGCGGAAGTTGGCGGCGGTCGCTCGAAACCACGCCAGGTCATCGTCGGTGGCGTCCGAGTCGGTCGTGTACCGGCACTCGAAGGCGGTGAGCACCTCGAGGGCGGGATCGAGGTTACCGGCGAGGTATGCGCGCTCATAGTGCAGGAAGCGCGAGACGGGGTCCACGGTGGCTCCACCCCAGCGCTGCTGAATCGGAAGGGCGTGCTCCACCGCCGTCCCGAGCGCGAGCCGGCCGAGGATGTTGGAGGGGGAGCGGTCGTCCCAGAACGGCTCGGCGCCGCTCGCTTCGCCATCGGCAGAGAGGCTATCGCTTTCCTGGATGATCTTGGTATAGATCTCCATCGCCTGCCCGTACCTGCCTCCTGCTGCGCCGCCCGCGACGAGCATGTCCCGCATAAGACGAGGGCTGAGTAGCAGTCTTCCCAAAAGCGTTTCCTCTTTTGCTCCCCGCACTGCATACCTCGCTAGACCACTTGGCGTGGCTTGGCGGAGCACTGCGCACGTCACCATGGCGGCATCGAGGCCACCCGGCACGAAGCTATCCGGCAGCGCCAGAAAGGCGCGCACTTTGGCCTGCGATAGCACTCTCTGTGCCAAGGTGAGCACATGCGCCTCGCTGCCGTTGCCGGCAAAGCTCCGGTACGCAGCCATGAACGCGTCCGCGTCCGCTCCTGGGATGGGAGGAATGCTGGCATTGACCCTGGCGCAGCTGGCATCCTCGAGGGCCTGATAACCCCTCTCGATGCGCTGGTAGCGGGGAGGCGAGAGGTCGGGAGGCGAGGGGCCAGAAGGCGAGGGCGGAGACGAGAGTCGCAGCATATGTTTGTGTGCATCGGAGGCTGCTCCCGCCGCCGACTTTGACCATCCAAAAAACAATTTTAAAGCTTGATAAGAAACATGAACCTTCACAGATAGGTTGATAAGAAACAAGCAGCTCACTGTTGTGTTGAGGGTGTGAATTCACAGACCTTGACAAACACTCTCTCAGACCTTGTTATTGAGAAGACAGAATTTTACATACAACAAAGCTCCCTCTCACGTCACTGCTGGGCACGGGACTGGCGCGCACTGACTGGCACTAACACAGTTCTAACCTCTAACACAGGTGAGAAGAAAAGAAATGAAATAGCTCCTATTCACACCAATGCAACAAACAAAAACTTCAACAAAACAAAACAACTTCAAGAGAGAGAGAGAGATTTTCGAATTTTACAACAAAGCTCCCTCGCACAACACTGGGCACGGGACTGGCTCGCACTGGCACTAACACAGGTACATTTTGATTTTAGAAAACCACGCACACGACAGTCGAGAACAGACAGGCAGCGAGGACAGTCGGAAGCACACTCGGTCCCCCAGAGGGGCGGCGGCAAAGTGAGGAGAGACACGCCGCCTTGTCACACAAGGCAACAGAAGGGGGAAGTCGATCGAGAACGGACAGTCAGACAGCGACGACAGCTTGGGCCCTTCGGTCAAAAGCGAACGCGTGCCCCCAAGTGATTTTGTGTAAGCGCGATAACGCATGAGGCAGGTAGGGAACGACAGGCGTCTTGGCGGCACGGCGTCTCCTCGTAGGAACGGCACTCGAGATCAGCTCGAGACTTGGGCTGCAGCTCGTTGACGTGTGCTCTGCCTCTGCTCTGCTCTCTGGCTGCAGCTCGGTGACGTGTGCGAAAGCCCCCCATGGGCTGCACTTCCAGCACCAGCAGCGACGCCGACGGCGCCACGGACCTCTCGAAGCCGGCGCTCTCACGTCAGACGCTCGGCAACGCCAGCCTGGGCGACGCAGCCGACGCTCTCACGTCTGCGTTCGTGAAGCAGCACTGGGACGCATCGGACCTGGAGGCCAAGTACGACCTGAGTGGGAGCAGGCAGCTCGGCAAGGGTGCGTTTGGCGTGGTCCGCACCTGCAAGCGCCTCGGAGGCGGAGGCGGCGAGTACGCGCTCAAGACCATTTCGCTCGACTTCGCGTCGGCGTCCGCTCTGAAGGAGCTAAAGAATGAGATCGACATCCAGCGCGCTTTTGACCATCCCCACATCGCGCGGATCGTCGAGACCTTCTACGCCAAGCCGACAGGCCCGACTGAAGGTGTGAATGTGCACATCCTCATGGAGAGCCTCGCCGGTGGCAGCTGCAAGACGCGCCTGCGGGACAACGGCGGCGGCTACAGCGAGGCGCTGGTGGCGCAGTACATGCGGCAGATGGTGTCGGCGACGCTACATTGTCACGAGCACGGCGTGGTGCACCGCGACATCAAGCTGGAGAACTTCGTCTTCGAGCGGGCGGGCGACGACGCGGCCCTCAAGCTGATCGACTTTGGCCTCTCTGTCCGCGTCGCCTCCGGCGACCGGCTACGGGACCAGGTTGGGACGGTGGCCTTCATGGCGCCGGAGCAGCTCGGGGCGGACAAGGGCGGCTACGGCGCGGCGGTCGACGTCTGGGCCCTTGGCGTCTGCACCTATGAGCTGCTCGCCGGCCCGTTCCGCCGGCCGTACAACACTGGGCGGAGCGTCCCGACGTCCCACTCGGCCCAGCTGCGCATCATCCAGCGCGCCGGCGCGCCGAAGCCTCTCGTGTCTCCCGTCTCGCCCGCGGCCGCCTCCTTCCTCGACGGTGCGCTCGCCCTGCAGCCGGGCTCGCGCCCCTCCGCAGAGGAGTTGCTGCGCCACCCCTTCTTCCGTCCCGAGGAGGCGGAGAGGGCGGCTCGAGGCGCAGGCCGGCAATCCGCTGCCAAGGTGCGCAGCTGCATGACGACCTTCTCGCACCTCACGCCGCTCGAGCGCCTCGCCTGGGACGCCGTCGCCTTCTGCACGCCGCCTGCCGCGCTGCACAGCATCCGGACGCGCATCGCGCAGCTCGACGCGGACGGGTCCGGCTCGCTCAGCCGCGCCGAGCTCGCCGCCGCCTTTGGCGAGGCGCTGTCTGCCGCGCAGGTGGACACGCTCTTTGCGGCGATCGACCTCGACAGCAGCGGCGTCATCGAGTACTCCGAGATTGTCGGCCCGCTCCTCAGCGGCGCCGGGGCGGAGTTAGACTCCGCGACGGTCGCCGCCGCCTTCGAGGCGCTCGACGCAGACTCGTCTGGCAAGATCTCGAGCGGCGAGGTCATGAGCCTGCTCGGCTCCAGCTGGAGCGATGACGTTGCGGCCAAGTTTAAGTTTGTCGCGGGCGAGGACGGAGAGCTCGACCTCGCGGAGTTCGAGCAGCTCCTCGCCACCCTCGGGGAGGTGTCGCGACGCAACTCAGTGTGGACTCCCCGCCCCTGACGCCCGCGTCAAACGGACGAAATCGCTCCGCCCCCAGCGGCGTGCGCACACACGGGATGCACATGCATAGGGGTACGGCTTTAGGGTCTTTACACCCGGGCGCTACGGTATTCCCGCTAACCGCGAACGACGGAACGAGAACAGGCACAAAACAGGCCGAGATATACAAAACATATCTATCTCGTTTGAGTTTCGCGCTTGAAACCTGTTCCTTTTGTACCCATCTCCTAGTTGAGGTGTCCGTTTTTTGTTTATATTTATTTAAGACCTTGTGACATGTGAGCACACACAGCTCACAGGTTGATGAGGGCGTGGCGTGCACCCCACAGGCCCACGCCCAGCTCTCTCGTCTGCACCCATCCTCTCAAAACTCCTCATCGCTCCCGTACCCGGGCTCCTCCTCGTCCTCGCTCTCGTTCGTCGGCGGCTCGGGCGACGGCGAATCGCAAATGTCAATGACGTCCGGCCGGGGCGGGGGCGGCATGGCGGCCGCCGCAGCACGGGCACCTGCGGAGGGCGAGGAGAGTCGCGGGTGGGTAGTCCACAGGGCGGTGTGGGGTCCGTGGGCGGGAGGGTAGTCCACAGAGTGGGAGGGGGAGGGTCGCGGGGAGGCTGCGGCGCCTATTGCACCGGAGCCGCGCCCCCTCCCAAACTGCAGGAGCTGCTGCCCGCGCGAGGCAGTCGGCGCAGGAGCCTACGGTGGGCAGACGACCAGCAATCGGTCTTTCGGGACGGGGGGAGGGCCATCGACGCCGAGCCGGGACCGCAGCGCTGCGAGGAGGCGGTGGTGCCGCCGCCGCCGCCGCCGCCGCCGCCGCCGCCGCCGCCGCCGCCGAAGGTGGCCGCGCTGCCGCCGCGTCGGTGGCGCGCCGCTTGGTCCGCCACTCGCCCGCCTCGCCGCCAGCCGCCGCGTTGCCCTCGCCGCACGCAAGTGCGGCGTCCTGCGCCGCTGCCGCCCCGCGCTTCGCCCCGCGCTTCGCCCCGCGCCCGCGCCCGGCTGCCCCTCGCCCGTCCGCGGCTCCGCCCTGCACGCGGCTCGCCGCCGCTCCTCCCCCCGACGGCGGCACGGCCCACGCTGGCGGGCGGGCGGGCGGCGTGCAGACGTCGCAGCCCACGCAGTCGGTGCAGAGACGGGCGTCCGCCGCCTCGCCAAAGTGCGAGAGCAGCGCCGCGCGGCGGCAGCGCGCCTCCTCGCAGTACTGCTTGACGGAGAGCGCGTCCTCCCGCGCCCGCTTCTTCTTCTTGCCGCCGCCGCCCTTGCCCCCGCCCTTGATCGCCATGCCGACCAAGCGGCTGTAGTCCCTCCTCGCGTAGAAGAGGACACACTCGGACTCTTCGCCTAGTGACGCGCCCACCCCGCGCCTCAACGACGGGCCGGTGCGGAGGAGGAGGAGGCGCTCGGAGGGCGGCGCCGTCGCGTCCGGCGCGGCCGCTCTCCTGGTGGTCGGGTCGGGACAAGGTTAGGGGTATGGTGAGGGTGAGGCGAGGGTGGGGGTGGGGGTGAAGGGCGAGGGCGAGTGCTCTCCTGGTAGTAGCCCTCGAGCGACTTTGGCATCGTGAAGTGGGCCACGTACCGCACGTCGCCCTTGTCGATCCCCATGCCCATCGCGATGGTCGCGCAGACGAGCGAGACGCCGCCGCCTACAGGCCACCTCCGGCCAGCCTCCGACCACTCCTCCTCCTCCGCACGCGGCCGGCCGAGGCGCCGCACGCCGGCGCTCCCCAGCTGCCACTGCCGCTGCACGGTCTGCCGCTGCTTGGGCGTCATGCCCGCGTGGTAGAAGGCGACCGAGACGCCCTCCTCCAGCAGCGCGGCGCACACCTCCTCCGTCTCCTGCCGCGAGAGGCAGTACACGAGCCCGCTCGTCCCGCGAGGCCAGTGGCGGATGTAGGCGAGCAGCTGGGCAATCGACCTGTCGTGGCCCGACGCCTTGGCCACGACGGAGTAGGAGAGGTTGGGCCGGTTGAAGGAGGTGCGGAAGACGTGGCTGCTCTTCATCTTGAGCAGCTTGCGCACGTCGGCGAGACACGCCGCGGTGGCGGTGGCGGTGAGTGCAGTCACGGGCACCGCCCGCCAGAGCGTGCGCAGCGTGCCGAGCCGCGTGTAGTCCTTGCGAAAGTCGTGCCCCCATTGGCTGACGCAGTGCGCCTCGTCGACGACGATCCGAGCGAGCTGCGGCGGCGAGCGACGCACCAGGCCCGAGAGCAGCTCGCGCACCGTCTCGTTGTGCAGCAGCATCTCAGGCGTCACGTACAGCAGCTTGGTCAGCGGACGCGGCAACCGTCGCAGGTCGGCGTAGACCGCCGCGCTATGGCCCTCGGGCGCGCCGGTGCCGAGGTAGGTTGTGGGCACGCCCGCAAACGCCGCGTCCTCGCCCTGCATCTGGCAGAGCGCTGTCACCTGGTCCTGGATAAGCGCGAGGAGCGGCGACACGACCACCGTCACGCCGCGGCTCAGCACCGCGGGAAGCTGGAAGCAGAGGCTCTTGCCGCCGCCGGTGGGCAGCAGCACAAACACGTCCTCGCCGCGCATCGCCGCCTCAATCACGCGCCGCTGCATCGGCCGGAAGGAACGGTGACCGAAGATGCGGCGGGCAGCCTCGACGAGCCGGTCCTCGCTACCGATCGCTCCCTCCATCGCCTCGGTCCTAGTTGAGGCACGGTTTGCAACGGTGGGCCGGCCAGGAGCAGCCGCGCAAAAAATCCTTTTTCTTTCTCAGCTCAATTAACACCCGAGGGTGAACTGCTAAAAAATGTGGCTGACGCTCTTGTGGACGTCTTTTCGTGGTGGTGGTGGAGGCCTTGCGCCAAGCACACGCACACACATGCCCGCAACTGCGGTCGCCGTGCAGGAGGATATCGTCGGTGAGGCGGAACGCCTGCGCCGCGTCGGGCAGCACCTCTTCTTTTGCGGCCTCGTCGATGCCGCCGGTGTTACGCACCAGCTAATGTTCAAGTCGGCTAGCGCCGAAGGAGTGATGGACGACGGCGCACTGCGCCAGCTCAAGCGCTCGCTGCGGCCAGGCGACGCCCTCCGCGTAACGGTCCACGCACGCGAGCTGGCCGGCAGCGGCAGCGTGCTGCATGTGCGGGAGGCGACCGTCCTCTCGCTCAGCGTTGCCTCCAACACGGGCGAGCGGCGGCGGGTCTCGCTCGACGGCGAGCCCACTGCCACCGCGCTGCCGCCGCCGCCGCCGCTGAGGCCGCGCTCCGAGGCCAAACAGCCTCCTTCTACGAGCACCGCGGCCGACGCCGACCCTGACGGCGACGATGGCGTGCACGGCGACGGGGAGGCGCCGCGCACCGAGCGGGCGCGCATCTTTGGCGAGTGGATACTGCGTTCGTTCGCGCACGTCTTGGAGGAGCCGGCCGTGACGCAATCGAGCGTCGAGGGGGCGCGCCCGTACACGGCGAGCGTGCGCCGCCTCGCCCGCGCCGCCTTCCCCGAGCTGGCCGACGCCGGGGAGGAGGGAGAGGAGGAGGAGGAGGAGGACTTGCTCGAGACGCTGTGCGGGGTGCACGACCCGGAGCGTTGCCTTGTCCTCCTCTGCTGGCTCCCGTCGCGAAGGGAGCCGGTCGGCTTCGCGCTGCTCTGCCGGCTCACCGCCTCGCTGCACGTCGCAAACCTGTGCGTCGACGCCGCCCTGCGGAGGAGGGGGCTCGGAGCGCTGCTCCTGCGGTCGGGCTCAGCCCTCGCGGCGTCGATGGGGCTGCATAAGCTCACCGGCAGCGTCGCCGCCTCATCGCCGCACCTCCTCGACTTCTACGCGCGCCTCGGCGCCGCCGCGCTGCCGCCGCCGCCCTGCGGGCCCGGCGCAGCGATCCTGACGCGCCGGCTCGAGGCGCCGTCCGGCCCGGCGACGGCGGGCGACGCGCCGGTGCCTCGCGAGCTCGGCGGTGCGGGCGGCGAGGCCGGCGGGAGGAGCGGCGTCCTCGACGTCGCGGGCGGGCGGGGAGAGCTGTCTCTGCACTTGACGCTGGCCGGGCAGCGGGCGACGCTCATCGACCCGCGTCCGTCGGCGCTCGCAAAGTGGCAGCGCAAGCTGCTGCGCAAGTCGGGCTGCGAGCCCTTTGGCGTGCGGCGAGAGCTGTTTGGAGAGGCGGGCGGCGAGGCAGGGATGGCCCTCGTGCGCGGCGCGGCGCTCGTCGTCGGCTTGCACACGGACGAGGTGACGGAGGCCATCGTCGACGCGGCGCTCGCCGCCCGCACGCCGTTCGCCGTCGTGCCCTGCTGTGTCTTCTCCCGCCTGTTCCCCGGCCGGCGGCTCCGCAGCGGCCGGCCGGTGACGTCACACCCGTCGCTTGTCGCCTACTTGCTCGAGAAGCACCCCGCCGTCCGCTCCGCGCGCCTTGGCTTTGCGGGAAAGGACGTCGTCGTTTTTTGCACCGACTACGGCGCCCCGTCGGACGCCGCGCACCTAATGTGTGCCCCGTGCGACGAGGGATGACCGTTTCTTTGGCTATAATGTCGCGCGAATAGAGTGTAACTCGAGGACCGCCATGTCGAGGACGCGCGCCGCGCACAGGGCTAGCGGCGCAGAGCTCCGGACGCTGGCCAGCGTCCGCCGCCCGCGCCGCCCGCACACTGCGCACACCGCGCCGCGAAAAAACAAGTGAAAAAACGATAACAAACCCTTTCCGTTTCGTCATTTTACCCGTTTCCGAGATCGCAGAAGCCGGATCGCCGGATCCCCCGGCCAACACGCCAGCAGCCGGCGGGGTGCAGCTCCGAGCGGGAGCCGCGGGAGACGAGAGGGGGGGGGGTATACCCCGCGGAGAGCCGGGGAGAGAGTTTTGTGGTTGGTCTCGCTCCTCTCCGTCTCTCTGGATTCGGGGATTCGGGTGAGTGTGGCTCACATCGGCTCCCATGGCGTGTCCTCAGAGCACACTACTGTCTTACTACAACAATGTACATGTCTGTAGGCGTGGCAGAAGCACTTGAGGCAAACTGCGGGTAAATAAATGTTTTTTAGCGGATGAACGCGAGCTCGTGGGGTCCACGAAAGCACCGCTTGTCGGTGTCAGAACCGCCCTCTTTGACCCTGGGGGGCCGAATCTGCGCCCTCTGGGCCCCGGCGGCGGGCCGAGAGAGGGCCGGCACGCGGGCTCCGCCGACGCTCTCGCAACGCGGGTCGCGCCGCGCGCCTCCCGGACGAAGCGTGTTGGTGCGCGACGGCGATCCTCGCCTGCGGGGAGCGGAGCACACGCGTCGGATGGCGAGGGCAGCACAAATATTGCACTAATGTCCCAGTATGGCAGCAGCCGGACGGGTTGGGTGGCGTGAGGGCAGGGTGGTGAGGATGATTCCACAGATCTCGCTGAAAATGGCCGTGTCCTTCCCGGGGGAGACAGGCGAGCACGCACCTCGCGTCCGAGCGCGAGTCGACGAGTGGTCGCCGAGAGATCGCCGAACCACGTCTCGAGTGCGCGCGCACACAGCACAGCTGCGGGTTGTAACTCGACTGCCGATCGCGTGTGCGGGATGTAAATGCAGCTCGCTGGCGCCAGTGCACGGTGGCAGGGACTGGAGGCTCGGCCGGAGAGGAAGAGCAGTCCTCAATCGTCACGTAGAGGTCGCTGGGCTGGATCCATCGAACTGCCACACACCTGGAGCGGAGGCACATCAGGTCTTGCGGCACACTCTCCGACAGATGCATGCCTTTTGAGCAAGCCCACGCGCCTCCACCGTCGCGTAGTATGCCAGCGGCACGCCGGTACGCCTACGAGTCGTGCGCGCTCGGCAGTAATCGGCGTTGAGACTGCCTAGCGCGCACATCGAGAGCGCCGAGTTGTGTTGCCGCGAGGAATCCTGCTCGAAGGTGGGGTCCGAGCGGCGCCCGATCGCATGGGATGGATCAGTGGGGCTATCACATGGGTACTAGGCCTGCTCAGTCAGGAGTTGGCGAGTGTGTGGGAGATTCACGCCCGTCGCTCAACGTCTGTTGAAAAACTGTTCGCTGAGCAAGCTCACGGTCGAGCAGGCTTGACGCGCGCTTCAGGATAGCAAGAGGCGTGCCCACTCCCCTGAGGAGCGTGCGGGCACGCCTGGGAATCGTTGTGGACCGACCATGGACTGAGATGACAGCCGGCGAAGCGCTGCGCCAAAACATGGCTCCGAAAGCGTCCGCCCTCCTGAAGCTTCACGGCGGAGGCTGTGAAGTCGCGGCATCGAGTTCAACCTCAGCGCACGCACGCACCGTGCTGGGGAGGAGTTGGCCTGCGAGCGGCGAGCGCTCCCGAGCGCGCGGCGCCCCGTTCTGGCCATCTTTCGCTTTCCCACCACAAAATCGCCTCTATTTTGTGCGCCTCCAGTGGCAGGTCTAGCCGGGCCCGATTTGTGGTACTTTTGATGTTTGCGCGCCGGATCTCGACTCCGCCGTGCTGCGGTGCGTCCCAAAGCAAAACTTGTGTCAGAGGGGCCAGATTGGCCGATTTATAACGACAAGACCGCGTCTGAAGGCTATTTTGCCGCGACACCGATACGCGGTTGAGGGCCCACGGTTGTGGCTAGTGGAGGTTGCTGTACAATCCGAGGGCGTTCCCATGGCCTCACGGGCCCGGGCGAGGATCGTGGCTAGAAAAATCAAAAAGTACCATCCGTGGGGGCGAGATTCTTAACTGTGTAGCTCGATTTTGACCCAGAACTACACAGAACGGCCCCAAATCGGCCCGGAACCGACCCGTGGGCCCGTCTGCCGCACCCAGCTCCGCCGGGAGGGGCGCGCGCCGTTCCCCGCGGCTCGGGCGGGCCACGCAGACGCGGCGGGAGAGCTTCCCGTGCCCTGTGAGTGCCGCCACACCGCCTCAAACAGGTCCCAAAGTGGGGGGTTTGCCTCAAGTGCAGAAGAAGGGGAAGGTGCTAGGTGGCACACCGCTAACTGCCGTACTCGTGTAACTCGCGACGCAAATAAATAAATAAAAACAGACACCTCTCTACTGTGAGATGGGTAAAAAGCTAAAAGGAACAGGCCCACGCAGCGACTCAAACGCTCGTGTCTTTTTTTCATTTTACTTGCTAATACTGCATTCTGGAACAATTTGCGCATTAGGCATTAGAGGACCGAATCCGAAAAGTCCAAAGTGGCTCACCCTCTCCAGCGCCTCTACCGCCCCTTCTTCTCCTCCCTGCCGCTGCCAGACTCGGCCCGCGGCCGCCTCGCCGCCCGCACGAGGTGACCCTCGAGCGCCTCGCCAAACGCGTCGAGCGAGAAGTGCGCCTCGACGCGCGAGCGCGCCGCGAGCCCGCGCGCGCACAGCTCGCCGGCGGCGTCGAGGCCGGCCGCCTCGGCGTAAGCGGCGGCAAAAGCGGCGGGCGTCGGCTCGCACAGCCACCCCGTCTCGCCGTGCGCGACCGACTCGCACGGGCCGCCGAGCGCGACTGCGATCACCGGCCGACCCGCCGCCATCGCCTCGAGCGGCACGATGCCAAAGTGCTCAAAGGAGGGCGTGTAGACCACCGCGCCCGCCCGCGCAAACAACGCACCCCGCTCCTCCGCAGACACGTTCGTGCGCAGCTCGACGCACTCCTGCAGCCCGAGCGCGCCTGCCTCGGCGAGCAGCTCGGCGTGGCAAGCGACCTGCTCCGGTAGACGCTCGTCCAAGCCACCCGCAAGCACGAGCCGCACCGCCGCACCGCCGCCGCCGCCCGCGCCGCCGCCGGCGCGCAAGTGCGCGAGCGCGCGCAGCGCGAGTGCGAGGTCCTACTGGCGGGAGGCTCACGGGCGGCTCCGGGGAGGCTTCCGGCGGAGGGGCGCGGCGGGCTGCGCTCCTTCTTGCGCTCGAACCGGTTGAGGGAGACGAGGGTGAAGTTGTCCTGGCAGCGGGGGAGGGGTTGGGCGGGTGAGGGGACGCGTCTGCGCGGCGGAGAGGGGGCGGGGCGGGGCGAGAGGAGGCCGCCTCTGCCGGCGCGGGCCACGCGAGCAGCCTGTTGTTGGCGAGGGAGATGGAGGGGTGGAGGACGGACGGCGTGCAGCCCAGCCTGCGCAGGAGCGGGAAGGAGGCGGCGAAGACGGACGCGGTGTAGGCCGAGTTGACGAGGACCGCCGACGCCGCCCCCGTGCAGAGCTCCTCGAGCAGGTCGAACGGCAGCCGGTACGCGGCGCGCACCAGCGCGAGCGGGCCGCGCGGGCGCGGCAGCAGCGAGGCCGAGCCCGCGGCACCAGCAGCCTCTCCGGTGGCGAGGAGTTTGTCGGGGAAGTGGCAGTAAAAGACGACGGGCACGCCTACCGCAGGAGTCGCAACCTCGGGTGCCGCGCGGCCGCGGACCAGCCGCCGCAAACGGGCGCGCGCCGGCGAGCCGCAGCAGCGCGACCGGAGGCGCCACCTGGTCCACGACCGCCACGTCGCAGCCCGGCTCGCTCGCCAGCAGCCACACAGCGCCCGCCAGGCCACGCACCGTCGCGCACAGCACGTGCAGCCGGCCGCGGACGTGGCGTGGCACGACGGCGCCGGCGACAGCCACGGCGAGCGTGCCATCACGCGTCTCCTCAAAGCAGCGGCTGCGGTCGTGGTGGGAGGTGACGATGAGGACAGAGTGCCCACGCGCCTGCAGCACCGATGCCGCGTCCACAACGAGCCGCTCCGCGCCGCCGATGCCGAGGTCCGGGTGGAGAAAGACGGCGCGCAGAGGGCGCGACGGCGGGCGGCGGCGAGCGCGGATGAGGAGAAGCCTCCCGAGCCGGACCGCGAGCGGGAAGAAGCAGAGCGCACACAGCGGGAGGAGCCAGGCAACGAGCAGGAGGTGGAGCACGGGCATTCAGCCCCGACTTGGAACGAGAGAGGTTCCGAAGAGCAAGAAAAGATCGGCGACACCCAAGTGCGGACGGCGCGCGCACTGGCCTAACACAGGTGGCGCGCACTGGCACTAACACAGGTGCCAGTCCTGTGCCTGAAAGAACGCTTTCCGTCTTATTGGTCGAGAAACCCTTCGGGTCGCTCCTCATCGCAAACCCTGTCAGCAGAGACAGAGTCCTCCCACAGGAAATAAAATAAACAGTCATCTCCAGGGACGCAGGGAGAGATGGGCGACGCACACGAACACAGAGGGACAGTGCGCACCCCGCCCCGCTCGCAGGGCGTGCATCACACAGGTGGACTGTGTGACTCCTCGGGTTTCTGGGACTCAGAGGTGTGCTAGTCGCTATTCTCCGACAATTCCGACATGTCTGACGGGCAGTTCGGGCTCGAGCGGTCGCGGTCGCGGCCAGCGCGTGAGGCCTGGCTAGGGTTGCCGGGCGAGAGCTCGACCCACGCCCCCACGCGCCGGAGCGCGCGTGGTGCTTGAGCAGCGGGCGGTCGCAGCCACCTCGAAGGGTAGCTCGTCGAGCCACTCGCCGAATGTGCCCTCGTCCTGCGCCGCAGCGAGGAATTGCTCACCTAAGCCGTACGCGCGGCAGGCCCGGTAGAGCGCCTCGTTCTGGATGGATCTCCTCCGGCGCCTCGGAGTCGTAGCCGCAAACGGAGGAGCCGGCAGAAGAGGCCTTCGAGGCGACGAGGAGCGCGTGTACGCGTGTATAAAGAAAATTTGTTCCTTCTTCGGCATCGCAGTTCGCGCGCGTTCAGGACGCACGACGCTCCTGTTCGCCGCATTTCTGTTCGCCGCATTCGCCGCACATCGAGGGCCGCCGCCCATGGGCAAACGCCGCTCGGTGTGGACCGAGGGCCCCAGCGAAGCGCTCGTGCCTCGCAGTTCCGCTGCGGAGGGGAGCGCGCGCGCTTTGCGCCAGGTCTACCACACCGTGGTGATTGATGGACGGAACGAAATTGCCTCAGGTGCCGGCGAGAAGCTTCGGGAGAAGGAGGGCGTCTCTACAGGTTGGTCGGATCCGCGGACAATCGAGATCAGGAGCTACGCGGTCGCGGGCGACCTGCAGCTCAGCGATGAGCTCCGGGCACGGGGCGGATGGCGAGGTCCCCACGCCACCCAGCGCGGCTCTCAGGTCTATGAGCTGGCAACCGGACTTATCCGGGAGGCGGCCCAGGTCGTGAACTCCATCCGCTCGGAGCCAGACTGCATCGACTCTGGCTGGAACGTGGGCGGGCGCGACGCCCTCCTCCACCGCCTCCTCACGGGCGAGACTCGGCACAATCCGGTTCTTGGGCGCGACGAGGCGGAGAACTTCTGCCTGCTCGCCACCGCCTGCGCGGAGGCTGTGCGAGAGCAGCCGACAGTGGTGTGCGTGCCAGCGCCCTGCAAGGTTTTTGGCGACGTGCACGGGCAGCTTCGCTCGTTGCTGCTCCTCTTCTCCGTGTATGGCTTCCCCAGCCACGGCATCGGCGACGTGCAGTCCATCACGTACGTCTTCAACGGCGACTTTGTCGATCGCGGCCCGCACCAGCTGGAGGTCGTCGCCCTGCTGTTTGCCCTCAAGATCGTCTACCCGGAGCGCGTCTTCCTCATCCGCGGCAACCACGAGTTTCGCAGCGTCAACGAAAACTTGGGCGCCTGCGGTTTCAAGGCGCATTGCAAATCGCGCTTTCCCGCGCCGTTCGGCTGGAAGCTCTACGACACTTCCCACCAGACCTTTGAGCTCCTTCCGCTGGCGGCGTGGCTGGGCCACGCCGTGATGGTGATGCACGGCGGCGTGGGCGACGGCAGCTGGGACATCCACGACCTCGCCCACGTTGAGCGGCCCCTGAGGGAGCTCGAGGTGCGCGACGACGCGCTGGCCGAGAGCGTCGTCGCGCGGGCCGCCTTCCACGCCGTCTGGAGCGACCCAAGCGACTCGGACCACTTCATGCGGAGGGGCGTCCACCAGAGCGGGCGCGGAGAGCACGTCCCTGAGTTTGGACCCGACGTGACGATCGACTTTTGCAGGCGTAACGACATCAAGGTTGTGATCCGGTCGCACCAGTTTGTCAAGGAGGGCTTCAAGGTGATGCACGCCGGCCATCTCATCACCGTCTTCTCGGCGCGAGACTACTTTGTTGATGTCGACAACGCGGCTCAAGAGAAGGGCAACGACGCCGCGATGCTCCTCCTCACCCCCGACCGCAACGGGGACTTGCGCATCCATCCGAAGCAGGTCTCCGGGTGCAGGTCAGGCGTTGCCGCCTCCCTGCGCAATAAAAAGATGCAGGAAAAGCTGGATGTGGCGAGGGTGCTAGTTAGCAGGGGGCGATCGGTCTTCCTTTGGGTCATCACGTGCGGGGGCGAGGGAGGGCTGCGGGGCGCAGACCGCCGCACGTCGCCAATGCGAAGACGACAGTCCTCTTCCTGACGTTGGCGCGTGTTTTTTGCGGCTCAGATGTGTACGTATGTAGCTGTAGGAGATCAATGTCAATTTGGTTCGTATGCATGTGGGTATAGCGTGGTAAAGAGGGCACACGTACCTGACAGGCGCACAGGCGGGCGCTGTGTGTGCTGTGCTGTGGCGCGGCGCGGGGGTCGCGCGGGGGTCGCGCGCGGAGAGAGAGACAGAGAGAGAGAGTCAGCAAGTCGTACACAGAGTCAGAGAGACTGGAACTGGACTCTGGAGTGGCGGTCGGTGCTCGCGGTTGAGGGAACGAGTCGGATAGCGCAGACGTCTCGTCGCGAGCTACGTGCATAGTCAGCGGTGTGTTGACGTCTGTTTGGTATCGAATTCCACAATACTCTTCTACAAACGAAGAACGTTCCTCGTCCGCACCCTCCCCGTCGCCCGCCTCAAAAGCGCGAGGTAGAGAGAGATGCGGGAAGGGACAAGGGACAACGGGGTGGTCGCGGGGCGCCGTGGTTGCCTCGGCGCGATGCATCGCGACGTCGGGCAGCCATCTCGACGTCGCGATGCATCGTGAACCGACTGCCCCTGTTTTGTGATCTGGGACTCCACGAAGGAGGAGCAGCCTGCTGCGCGCTGCGCAAGCACGGGCGGGAGGGGTTTCTCCTGCGGAGTCGTGCGTGCGCGGGGCTCCTCTTTGCGAATACTCCCTACATACATCTCGTACCCGTTCTACCAGAGAATCCATAACCCTCGCTCGAACTTTAGCACGGGGAGTCTCGCGGAGAAGGGGCAACTCCGGCACTGACGGTCGGTCGGCCCCGTCGGAAAACACGCCCGCGTGGATCGCGTTACGCCAATCCTCGCTACCCAGCGCGGCCAAAGGATATCAACCTCGAGGACCTCGGCAGATCGCGGCCTGCGTGAACGACGTCTCGATTTCGGGCCCGGAGTTGTGCGTTTATGTGAACGTAGCTGCGCGAGTCCCGCACGGCGCGCTGCACTGGCACACGAGGCCAGGCGCACCCGTCTGTACGGTGGCGCGGCACGACAGTGCAGCGCGGGCCCGAGCAGCTGCCGGCGGAGCACCTCCTCGAGGGCAAGACCATCCACCGCGGCGGGCCTCACTACATGAGCGCTCGGGCGCGCGACTATGGCCAGGGCGGCGCTGTCGCAGACAGGGCGAACCTGGTCCAGCGCGACTACGAGGCGCGGGCGGCGGCACTCGATGCCAAGCCGCACGTGCAGGCATGGAACAACGGCTCGAGGGACGCCGTTTCCTCCGTGCTGCGCTCGTTTGGCACCGTGCGCAGCCTCGTTGTCGGGGCCTACGCGGAGGCGCCGGACGACCTGCACCAGGTGTTCGACTGTGTGGTGGAGTCGGCATCCAAGCAGCACTGGAGGCGGATCGGCGCGCGTAGCGCGAAGGAGGCGCGGTCCTACTTCGCTACGACGCTGCGGCGGGCGTGGGGCGTGCACTTTGCGCGCGAGTTCGCGCGGCACCGCATCCGACGCGTGGTGTTCGTGGGGGCCCCGCGGCGACAGCCGGGCAGGCCTCTCGCGACGGCCGATGGAGACTGGCCAGCGCTGTCGGCGGGCGAGTTTGCGGCGCACGCGCTGCGCGTAGGCGGCGCGTGGGCGGGCGGCCCGCCCGGCCGTCGGTGAGCACCGGACGCGAGGGTCGGTCGGCTCTTAACTAGCTGTATACTCGAGTATAGTCGCGATCTGCCGGCGTGCGTATGAGCTCACTAGCTAGAGCTCACACTAGAGGCCGTCATCGCATTCGCCTTCCTGGGACCCAGCGCTGACTTCTGACTGTCGTTGCTGTCTCTCTCCCTTCTCGACTGTCTGTGCTTGTGCGTCTTGGGTGCGGAGTTGTGCGTTTATGTGAACGACGTCTCTTCACACCTGAAGACCATTGACAAACCGCACAGCGATTTGCCAGGAATGCAGTGCGTCCGGAGCCTGACGAACCTCGACGTCGAGCCGCTCCGCGAGCACCTCGCCTCGTGCGGCCAGCCCTTCAAGACGTCCGAGCTCTACGCCACCGCCGACGCCTCGCGCTTCGCAGACACCTCCGTCCGCCTCTCCGAGTCGCGTGCGATCGTGGACCCAAAGCTGGCCGCCCTGAGCGAGGCGCGCGCGTGGCCCGTCACCCCAGTCGTCCCTGTGTGGGTATGAGCCAAGCCTCCTGTGACGGTCGGTCGCTTACACGCTACTAGGCGCTCGTCAAGGAGATCTCTGCGAGCGACACGCAGTACGACTACGTGCTCTGCCCCGACAACATCACCCACATAAAGTACTCGGCGGGCGGCTTCTTTAAGCGGCACACCGACCACTGCCGCGGCGCGAGCAACCTGATCGAGGAGTTTACGCTCGTCGTCAACGTGAACCCGGACAACGTGCCGTGCGAGGGCGGCTCGACCGTGATCCACCTGCCCTCGGGCAGCGCCTCAACCTTCGCGACCACCTTCGACCAGACCACACAGCTCGGCGGCGGGCTGCTCTTCCGCAAGGACCTCGAGCACGAGGGGCTGCCGGTCCGTCCGGCGTGCTGCTCTCGGCGGCGGTGAACTGCGCCTCTTCACGCTCAGTGATGTGGACAGGTCGCGTCCGGCGAGAAGCACCTCCTCTGCATGAACGTGTGGGGCCGCCGCCTGAAGCAGGGCCAGGTGCTCCTCGTGACCTTTGAGGATGCCCCCGCCTCGTCCACCTCGGACGCCTCGGCGCTGCGCGCGGCGAGCCTCGCCAAGACGCACGCCCTCGCGGCGGAGGAGGCGGAGGCGTCGCACGCGCTCAAGCTCGTCATCGACGGGGCGAACCGCCTCGCCGACGAGGCGGAGGCCCCGCGCCCGGCCGTGGTGCGCTACGCGGCGCCCGAGGGGGTCGACTTTGACACGTTTGATCTCGTCTGCCGCATCTGCCGGCGCATGCACCTGACGGCCGCGATGCTCGAGGGCGAGGCGCGGCAGCGGGCCATCGACTACTTCTTCCCCGGCGCCTTCTTCAAGTGGGAGAACCTGCTGCTCGAGCAGGCCGGCTTGGCCGAGCCCTCCTACCCGGCCACCCCCTCGTCCGAGCTCGTCTTCGACAGCATGCTGCTCGCGCAGCCGCAGCCCGACGACGCCGCGGCCGATCTCGACGTGATCGTGACGGGGTCGGCCGAGCGAACGCGGGTGGTCGCAGAGCTGGCGCGGGAGCTCGAGCTGCCGTACGTGGAGTTCAGCTTTGCGTTCGTCAAGGGAGACTTCACCGACACTGGCGGCGACGAGCCGCTCACGCAGGTCTGGCTCTCGCTTGGAGGCTACGACTCGATCTTCTCTTTCCAACGAGTGCACAAGGCGAGAGGCGACGGCCACTCCAGCATCGGTGTCCAGACGCTCTCGCTCGCGCAGTACCTTGCGCACAAGGACGTGTTCCGTGTGGCGCACCGCTCGCCCTTCACGCAGCGCGCAAAGTACGTGCCCTACTCGGCACTCGATGCGGTGCCCGGAGAGTTCAACCAGCTTAAGAGGAACTTCCGTGATCTGGAGGGCGACTCATTTGGGGACGAGGGATGGGAATGCTTGGAGCAGGCCTATTGCTATGGCCTGCGCGCTGCAGCCGACTCGTCCATCGAGACGAATGCGATGCTGTCGCTGGCCTTCAAGCACGACCAGTCGATTCCTACGTCGCTCGAGTACCTGCCGGGCGGCAGCTCCTTCGACGAGGCGAGCTCTGCGCGCGCGAAGGCGCAGCCGTGGCACGCGGAGGCTGCTGCGGCGGCTGCGCTGCGCAAGGACGAGGTGCGGCCGATCCTCGACGCGCTCAAGGAGAAAATGGAGAAGGAGCTAGCGAAGAGGAAGGAGGCGTTTCGGGTCGAGTTCGAGGATGACTTCGAGGACGAGGATGACTTCGAGAATGGATGGGAGGAATATCAGTTCGATGACCATGAAGCCCGCGAGATCCAACGTGACAAGTACGGGTGCGTCGATCGGGACCCGACCCTTGCAGAGGACGACGGCGACCACGGCGTGGCGGCGCCGGCGGGGGCGTGGCTCTTCCACCGCGACGAGCACGGCAAGACGTGCTTCAACGAGGCGGAGGCGCGCGCGGCGTGCGAGCTCATCGCCGCGATCAAGCTCGACGAGCGCGTGGTCGCCGCGATGGCGGACACGGAGTTCGTCTTCCCACAGGAGCACGCCAGCACCCGCGACTTCGTCTGCAACGGGGAGGCGTACGGCGAGTTTGAGCTGCTTCAGGCCCGCACCGCCCGGGTCGCAACACTGCATGCTCGCGCGCTCCAACAGCCCTCCGTCGACCGTTGCTGGGTAGGTGACTGGCGTCGTGCGGCTCGAGGCCAAGCCGGAGCTGGTCAAGGCGGCGAAGGAGGAGGAGGTGGCGAGGCGCAAGGAGCGACGGGAGGCCTTCCTGCGGCAAGAGCAGAAGCGCGAGGCCGAGGAGGCTGAGCGCAACGCCAAGAGGGCCAGGATCGCCGCCGGAGAGGAGGTCGAGGAGGAGGAGGCTGAGGAGGAGGAGTCTGCGGAGGAGTCCGAGGAGGAGGAGGTCGACGGGGAGGAGTCCGGGGAGATGTCGGGGCAGGAGTTTGAGGACGCCGACGAGGTGTCGGGCGAGGAGGAGGCCGAGGACGGCACGGGCTTCCGCTGCGTTATCTGCTGAACAATTCGCGGGGGCTGGTGCTCCTGCTATTTGAGGTGGCAACGCACGCAGCACGCAGCTTGTCTGCCGCGTGCGATGGCCGAGGGAAGGGGGGGGGGGGGGGAGGGGGGGGGCACCTTGCCCGGAGAGGCGGCACGCAGCCCAGGTCTCACTCTCAGGCCAGCGCGTGTGCACACACACAACACCCCGAGCGAGACGTGTCGGACGGCCACGGAGCTCAGCGGTCAGCGCGTGGAGTGGGGAAGATGTGCATTGTGCTCTTTTGAGGCGAAGACGAGGCGGGGTATGTCCGGTATATCCCATCCGCGTGTTTCATCCGGCTGGAGAGCCAGAGGCAAATTTAGAATGTGATGATCGAGCGCATGTGTGGCGAAGCCGCGGCGGGATAGCCGGTGTATAAGAGAGCAGCCGCGGCGGCATATACGGCTCTACCGACTACACCGCACACGCCCATGCACACGCCACAGGGAGAGGGTCTCTCAGACTCAGTCTCTCTGTACACACTGTCTGTGTCGTAGTCCACGCGTAGCCTGACTATACCGCGCACGTCCCAAACGCATATCACCCTGTGACGCTGGGGTCGCTGGTCCACGCGTTGGCGGTGCTTTCGGGAGGCGCAGCAGGACGTTACCAGCGAGGGTACGTGCCATCCCTCTCCCAGACCTGCGAGGCGAGAGCAGCAAAGGCGGTGAAGCAGGCCCGAGAGCGGGTGGCTCCGAGGTGCGGTGGGCAGGGGGGTGTGCGGGTGCCGCCACGTCAGCCGCATTACTCTCTTCGGGGGTTTGACTCTTCAGCGGGCGGCGGCCACTCGCGCGGGCAGGCGCGAGGGCGCCGGCGCCTCGAAGCGGCCTCTTGTTGCTCATCCTCGGGGCGGCACCGCGGTGGGAGGGGGCGGGGCGGGGGGCGCCGGCGGGGGAGGGGCGGAGAAGCTGCCTGCTGACGTGGAGTGGCGCGCTTCAGCCGCGCCGCGACGGCGGCTTCGCCCTCGCCCTCTCGTCCTCTGGCGCCCCTTCACGCGTCGAGTCGGCAGCGCCGAGCGGGTGCGCGCCGCGGTCCTTCTGGCTCGCTCACCGCCGCCAGCCCGCCTCCGCCGCCTCGCTCAGTACCCGACTGTCACGCAGGCGATGGCATAGACCCAGGAGCTGTCCTCAGCAGAGTCGCCGAGCGACGGCACGGAGCACATCGACTCGAACCGCGCCCCACCCTGCAAAATCTCGACCGGCAGCAGCTTGCCGTAGGCGAAGCACGCCTGCACCTCCGCCATATCAATCGCAGGCGGCGTGGGCAGCCCGTCCGCGCTGGAGTCAAACGGCACCGCGAGCTGAAGGCGGAGGAGGGCGTTGCCTGCCCCTCCGGGCACCAGCCGCTCGAGGGACGGGACCGAGTTGAAGGAGATGGCGTCCTTGCACGCCCGCACACAGGCCTTGGTGAGGTCCTGGCCGTGCTGGTCCGTACCAACGCCAGACTCGATGAGGATGACCTCTCGGAAGCCGGGAGGCGCCTTTGTGATGCTCATCTTGAGGCCGCGCGCTGGCGGGCGCATCGCCGGGCGTGACGCAAGTCGTAGTCGCGATGCGAGCATGGAAGGCTGCTCAGCGAGGTGGTAGATCGAGACGGCGTGGGCGAGTAGAGGCACACGCACGCACTTCGAGGTCTCTTGGAGCAGAGCCCGGCCCCCCCGGGGGGCGAGAGCCCCCCCCCCCAATGGGTCCCTCGAGAGGGGTACCCTGGGTGGGCGGGGCCTCTACTCGCCAGGAGACGGCGCGTCTCAGATAAACGCAAAAAATATACGAATTCAGTTTGTGCGCACGAGCGGCTTCGGCGTTTCTGTTTTCGCGATACGCCAGAGTCAGATCTCCCAAAAAGAAAGAAAAGCTCCGCGCACAAGCTGTCAGCGAGGTGTCGCAGCGTGCGAGCCCGCGGTCGTCGCTCCGAGCTACCGCAATGTCCCTCTTCCGCGGCTGCGGCACCACGTCCTTGTACATACCACCGCGCACCGGCCGCGGCGGCACGCCGCCACGCACGCAGGGCCTCGCGCTGTTGCTCGGTTGGACGGCCGGCTCGTACCGTCACGTCCAGAAGCACGCGCGGCTGTGGCACGGGCTCGGGATGCGGACAGCGACCGCCACAACGGATCTTGCGATGACGTTTCAGCCGGCACGGCTCACGGGGATCGAGTGGGTCGCCGACAATCTGCTGCACACCGTGCGCTCGCAGCCAGAGGACTCGCTGATCGTGCCTCACGTCTTCTCCAACGGCGGAGCGCTGCTGCTGCTCACGCTGCTGAAGCGCGCGCGCGAGGCGGGCTGTCCGCTCAGCTTCGACGCCACCGTGTACGACTCTGCTCCTAGCCGCTCCCTCTGGCCCGCGCAAGCGCCGCTGGTGGGATGGCTGTCCACGTCCGGCCTGCCACTCCGCGAGCGGCTGGCGCTCCTCGGCCGCGTCTCGGCCAACGCCCTCGCCGCGCAGGCGCTGGCGCCCATCAAAGGCGTGGAGCCTCCGCTGGGCGATTTTCCGCAGCTCAGCGACCCGGCTGTCAACGCGCCTCGGCCAGAGCTCTTCATGTACTCTGGCGCGGATTCTCTCGTGCCGGCGCGTGGGATCGAGGCTTTTGCCCAGCGGCGCGCAGAGGTGGGCTGCGACGTGCAGCTCCGCCGATTTGAGGGCTCGCCACACTGCGAGCACTACCGCCGCCACCCAGGCGTGTACGACGCAGCGGTGCGAAGCTTTGTGGGCTCGCTTGCCGGGTGGAAGGACGAGGCTCAACCCACTGAGCGCGATAGAGACCTGGGAGCGCAAGCGCCGTGTGATATTTCCGCCTAATTTTCTACACTTCGTTGTTGTCGCGACACGGCGCTTCGGCGCTCGGTGGGTTATAAGAAAGTTAATCGTTATATTGTTATTTGATGGAGATGATCCGCGTCGCCGCCGGCGCCGCAACACGAGAGAGAGAGGCGTGAAAACTGAAATTCTGAAAAACGCGCCAAGGCTAAGGGGGGCAAGAGCGGCTGGTCGTCATGTGGTACATTCTGTGCGATCGCGGCACGGTGAGCTGGCCGTCGCAGGTGAGTGATCTGCCGCCGGAGGCGGAGCCGGCGACGCACCTTCTGTTCACACTTCGCTTCAGCATCTCACCAGCGACCAGGTGCTTCTATTGGTGCTCGACACGGCTCACGGGGCCCCGCCGCCGCGCACTCTCTAATGACGTGATGCATCGCAGACCAGGTAAAAGCGCTTGTTGTAGGCTTGTTCCGGGGACGTTGAGGAAATGTCAATACTGCGTCCGCCTCTCAAGTCGCCTCTCCGCAGGCGCACACGCGCCGACTCCCCACCCCACCCCGCCTGCGCAGGCCCCGCCACGCTGGCTCGCTCGCTGTCACACACGAAACCCCTCTCTCAGCCCCCCGTGCGCGTCTCCCGTCACAGCCCCTTCGCGACGACCGCGACGGTCCGGATACGCCCCCCCCCCGCCCCCCGGGCCTCCTCTCCAGAACTCCTCTACTCGTCGACCTCCTCCTCCTCAGCCTCCTCCTCCTCGACCTCCTCTCCGGCGGCGATCCTGGCCCTCTTGGCGTTGCGCTCAGCCTCCTCGGCCTCGCGCTTCTGCTCTTGCCGCAGGAAGGCCTCCCGTCGCTCCTTGCGCCTCGCCACCTCCTCCTCCTTCGCCGCCTTGACCAGCTCCGGCTTGGCCTCGAGCCGCACGACGCCAGTCACCTATACAGATGGGACGGAGTAGTTTGCATACCGGGCTTGTGCATACAGGCCCCGGCACACACCTGCAGCAGCACAAACTCGCCGTACTCCTCGCCGTTGCACACGTAGGCCTGAGCACTGGCGTGCTCCTGTGGGAAGACGAACTCCGTGTCCGCCATCGCGGCGACGACTCGCTCGTCGAGCTTGATCGCGGCGATGAGCTCGCACGCCGCGCGCGCCTCCGCCTCGTTGAAGCACGTCTTGCCGTGCTCGTCGCGGTGGAAGAGCCACGCCCCCACCGGCGCCGCCACGCCGTGGTCGCCGTCGTCCTCTGCAAGGGTCGGGTCCGAGCGGGAATACTCACTCACGTCGCCGTAAAGGTCGTGCTCTTCGTGCTTTTGCATCTCCCACGCGGCCTCGAACTCATCCTCGGTGTAGCCCTCATGGCACTCTGCGTAGTGAGCACGAAAGCTCTCCTTGTGCGGGGCACGCTCCTTCTCCATCTTCTCCTTGAGCGCGTCCTTGCGCAGCGCAGCCGCCGCAGCAGCCTCCGCGTGCCACGGCTGCGCCTTCGCCCGCGCAGAGCTCGCCTCGTCGAAGGAGCTGCCGCCAGGCAGGTACTCGAGCGACGTAGGAATCGACTGGTCGTGCTCGAAGGCCAGGGAGACCATCGCACTCGTACTCGAACTCATCTTCGCCACGCGTCCTCGCCATGCGCGCTCGAACTCAGCCTCGTCGTAGACCTCTCCCTCCAGGCCTTCTTCCTGCTCGAACTCGACCCGAAACGCCTCTTTGCTCACGCTGGCCATCTGATTTGTCTCGATGGACGCGGTTGCGGCGCGCAGGCCGTAGCAGTAAGTCTGGTTGAGGTTCTCCCCTACCCCCCAGCCGTTGGGATCCTCGATCTCGGAGAAGTCCCTCTTGACCGGATTGAACTCGTCGGGCACCGCATCGAGTGCCGAGTAGGGCACGTACTTTGCGCGCTGCGTGAAGGGCGAGCGGTGCGCCACACGGAACACGTCCTTGTGCGCAAGGTACTGCGCGAGCGAGAGCGTCTGGACACCGATGCTGGAGTGGCCGTCGCCTCTCGCCTTGTGCACTCGTTGGAAAGAGAAGATCGAGTCGTAGCCTCCAAGCGAGAGCCAGACCTGCGTGAGCGGCTCGTCGCCGCCAGTGTCGGTGAAGTCTCCCTTGACGAACGCAAAGCTGAACTCCACGTACGGCAGCTCGAGCTCCCGCGCCAGCTCTGCGACCACCCGCGTTCGCTCGGCCGACCCCGTCACGATCACGTCGAGATCGGCCGCGGCGTCGTCGGGCTGCGGCTGCGCGAGCAGCATGCTGTCGAAGACGAGCTCGGACGAGGGGGTGGCCGGGTAGGAGGGCTCGGCCAAGCCGGCCTGCTCGAGCAGCAGGTTCTCCCACTTGAAGAAGGCGCCGGGGAAGAAGTAGTCGATGGCCCGCTGCCGCGCCTCGCCCTCGAGCATCGCGGCCGTCAGGTGCATGCGCCGGCAGATGCGGCAGACGAGATCAAACGTGTCAAAGTCGACCCCCTCGGGCGCCGCGTAGCGCACCACGGCCGGCCGCGGGGCCTCCGCCTCGTCGGCGAGGCGGTTCGCCCCGTCGATGACGAGCTTGAGCGCGTGCGACGCCTCCGCCTCCTCCGCCGCGAGGGCGTGCGTCTTGGCGAGGCTCGCCGCGCGCAGCGCCGAGGCGTCCGAGGTGGACGAGGCGGGGGCATCCTCAAAGGTCACGAGGAGCACCTGGCCCTGCTTCAGGCGGCGGCCCCACACGTTCATGCAGAGGAGGTGCTTCTCGCCGGACGCGACCTGTCCACATCACTGAGCGTGAAGAGGCGCAGTTCACCGCCGCCGAGAGCAGCACGCCGGACGGACCGGCAGCCCCTCGTGCTCGAGGTCCTTGCGGAAGAGCAGCCCGCCGCCGAGCTGTGTGGTCTGGTCGAAGGTGGTCGCGAAGGTTGAGGCGCTGCCCGAGGGCAGGTGGATCACGGTCGAGCCGCCCTCGCACGGCACGTTGTCCGGGTTCACGTTGACGACGAGCGTAAACTCCTCGATCAGGTTGCTCGCGCCGCGGCAGTGGTCGGTGTGCCGCTTAAAGAAGCCGCCCGCCGAGTACTTTATGTGGGTGATGTTGTCGGGGCAGAGCACGTAGTCGTACTGCGTGTCGCTCGCAGAGATCTCCTTGACGAGCGCCTAGTAGCGTGTAAGCGACCGACCGTCACAGGAGGCTTGGCTCATACCCACACAGGGACGACTGGGGTGACGGGCCACGCGCGCGCCTCGCTCAGGGCGGCCAGCTTTGGGTCCACGATCGCACGCGACTCGGAGAGGCGGACGGAGGTGTCTGCGAAGCGCGAGGCGTCGGCGGTGGCGTAGAGCTCGGACGTCTTGAAGGGCTGGCCGCACGAGGCGAGGTGCTCGCGGAGCGGCTCGACGTCGAGGTTCGTCAGGCTCCGGACGCACTGCATTCCTGGCAAATCGCTGTGCGGTTTGTCAATGGTCTTCAGGTGTGAAGAGACGTCGTTCACATAAACGCACAACTCCGCACCCAAGACGCACAAGCACAGACAGTCGAGAAGGGAGAGAGACAGCAACGACAGTCAGAAGTCAGCGCTGGGTCCCAGGAAGGCGAATGCGATGACGGCCTCTAGTGTGAGCTCTAGCTAGTGAGCTCATACGCACGCCGGCAGATCGCGACTATATACAGCTAGTTAAGAGCCGACCGACCCTCGCGTCCGGTGCTCACCGACGGCCGGGCGGGCCGCCCGCCCACGCGCCGCCTACGCGCAGCGCGTGCGCCGCAAACTCGCCCGCCGACAGCGCTGGCCAGTCTCCATCGGCCGTCGCGAGAGCCTGCCCGGCTGTCGCCGCGGGGCCCCCACGAACACCACGCGTCGGATGCGGTGCCGCGCGAACTCGCGCGCAAAGTGCACGCCCCACGCCCGCCGCAGCGTCGTAGCGAAGTAGGACCGCGCCTCCTTCGCGCTACGCGCGCCGATCCGCCTCCAGTGCTGCTTGGATGCCGACTCCACCACACAGTCGAACACCTGGTGCAGGTCGTCCGGCGCCTCCGCGTAGGCCCCGACAACGAGGCTGCGCACGGTGCCAAACGAGCGCAGCACGGAGGAAACGGCGTCCCTCGAGCCGTTGTTCCATGCCTGCACGTGCGGCTTGGCATCGAGTGCCGCCGCCCGCGCCTCGTAGTCGCGCTGGACCAGGTTCGCCCTGTCTGCGAGAGCGCCGCCCTGGCCATAGTCGCGCGCCCGAGCGCTCATGTAGTGAGGCCCGCCGCGGTGGATGGTCTTGCCCTCGAGGAGGTGCTCCGCCGGCGGCTGCTCGGGCCCGCGCTGCACTGTCGTGCCGCGCCACCGTACAGACGGGTGCGCCTGGCCTCGTGTGCCAGTGCAGCGCGCCGTGCGGGACTCGCGCAGCTACGTTCACATAAACGCACAACTCCGGGCCCGAAATCGAGACGTCGTTCACGCAGGCCGCGATCTGCCGAGGTCCTCGAGGTTGATATCCTTTGGCCGCGCTGGGTAGCGAGGATTGGCGTAACGCGATCCACGCGGGCGTGTTTTCCGACGGGGCCGACCGACCGTCAGTGCCGGAGTTGCCCCTTCTCCGCGAGACTCCCCGTGCTAAAGTTCGAGCGAGGGTTATGGATTCTCTGGTAGAACGGGTACGAGATGTATGTAGGGAGTATTCGCAAAGAGGAGCCCCGCGCACGCACGACTCCGCAGGAGAAACCCCTCCCGCCCGTGCTTGCGCAGGAGCGCGCAGCAGGCTGCTCTAGAGCTGTCAAACGTTAACTTTGGGCCTAACAGTTGCACTATTGTTGGCTGAAAATCCTCAACGTTGTTCAAGTGTTCTCCCCAGCCCAAGCTGTTACTGTTTGTTACTGTTGTTACTGTTGTTCAGTGGCCAGCAAGCAGAAAATGCCAAAACCCCCGGGTAAAACCCGAAAATACCTGGGTTTTCCCGGGTATTTTCGGGTATTACCCGCACTGGACGCTGGAGATCGTCGTGGGTCACTGCCAGGCCTTCCTTATTGTTGTTCAGCCGGCCTAACGTTAGCTACTGTTGTTGGGGAGCCCCACTGTTGTTCTGTTGTTACTGTTAACACTAGCAACACTGTTCAGCTCTTAACGTTTGACAGCTCTAGGCTGCTCCTCCTTCGTGGAGTCCCAGATCACAAAACAGGGGCAGTCGGTTCACGATGCATCGCGACGTCGAGATGGCTGCCCGACGTCGCGATGCATCGCGCCGAGGCAACCACGGCGCCCCGCGACCACCCCGTTGTCCCTTGTCCCTTCCCGCATCTCTCTCTACCTCGCGCTTTTGAGGCGGGCAACGCTCGGGGAGGGTGCGGACGAGGAACGTTCTTCGTTGTAGAAGAGTATTGTGGAATTCGATACCAAATAGACGTTACCAAACCACCGCTGACTATATGCGAGACAACAATTTGGAGAGAGAGAGAGAGGACGCACAAGCAGACACCCTCCCGACGTCCTGTACGTAGCTCGCGAGCTATCCGACTCGCCTGCGCTATGAATCCGACTCGATCGTCCGACTGACCGACTCCAGTTCTCCACGACGACCGCACGTTCCAGCCGCTGCTTGGACATAGCTTGCTATGGCCCCCCCGCCGCCGCCCCCGCCTACTCGCCCTCCTCGTCCTCCTCGTCCTCCTCCTCGTCGTCCGACGCCGCCTCGCCGACCGAGAGCTTGAGCTCGTACTCCTGGTCGCAGCCGAGGTACGAGTCGCAGATCAGGTAGAGCATGTACGCGTGCTCGCCCGCGTCGGGCGCCACAAAGTCGAGCTTGACGCGCGCCTTGGTGCCGAGCGTGATCCGCTTGATCGAGACGAGCGAGTTTGCGGTGGGGTCGCCCAGCACCAGCCACCACCCCTCCTCCTTGGTCTTCGGGTAGCGCGGCGCGTGCACCTGCGGCGCGCGCTTGGACGCCTCCTCCTCCTCGTCCGCCTCGCGCTGCAGGCTCACGAGCACCGAGACCGCCTCGCCCGCGGCCACCTCGTCCGCGTCCTCCACCTCGAAGGAGAGGTCGATGTTTGGGTACGCGTTGGCGACGCGCGCCACGTCGGCGAGCTGCGCGGGCGTCATGCCGAGCAGCGCGTCGCGCTCGGCGTCCTCCATGTCCATCAGGTCGAAGACCGACTCGACGCCCGCCGCGGCCGCCTTCTTGGCGAGCGCGCGGTCAAAGTGGGGCAGCTGCAGCAGCGCCGAGTCGCGGTCCCACATGCCCTGCACGCACATCTGCGACAGCTCCATCGCCGCCAGCGCGGGCGCGAGCCAGCCCGAGGAGGAGATGACGTCGACCGTCGCCTGCAGCAGCCGCGTCGACTTCTCGAGCACCGTCGCCGCGTCGGCCCCCATCTCGCGGCCGACGTCCATCCGCGAGAAGTGGCACTGCAGCAGGACGTTGGCCTTGACGTGCGGGTCGTTGAAGCGCGGCTCCTCGAGCGCGAGCGGGCAGTGCGAGCCGAGCCGCTGCAGCACGTCGTCCTCGCGGTGCCGCACCGGCAGCGCGTCGAACTCGGCGGCCGAGGCGAGGATCTCGACGAGGCCCTTGAGCTTGGTGGTCGGCTGCAGGCTCGACGAGAAGAGCTCGATCGTCGTGTACTGGATGTAATAGTACGAGGCGATCATGCCCAGGTTGAGCGGCGACACCTCCATCCCGTCCTCGATGGCGACGCAGCGCGCCTGCTCGAGGTCGGTGAGCGTCGTCTCGACGAGCTCGGACAGGTGGTCGGAGAGGTGGCGGTGCGAGGCGCCCTGCAGGTTGTAGTAGTTGGGGTTCTGCGTCAGCCGGCGGTACATGAAGGTCCACGTGAGGTAGTCGACGGCGTCCTGCTTGTTCTCGATCGTCTTGGTGACCACCTCGGCGCAGAGGTGGTCGTGCAGGAAGTGGTCCAGGTGGCTCTCGACGGGGAAGGGCTCGTACAAAAACTTGCGGTAGAAGAGCTTCTTCGGCGCGTGGCACAGCAGCACGCAGCGGCCAGACTCGTCGACGAGCGGGCGGCACGCGCGCCCGATCATCTGCAGGATGTCGGTGATCGGGTAGTCGGCGTACCGGTGCTCGGCGCCGTCGTAGTACTGCGTGTCCATCAGCACCACCAGCTGCGCGCGCGGCTTGAGCCCCCAGCACATCGAGTGCGTCACCACGAGCACCTGCACCGCGCCCGACTCGTGCAGCGCGCAGACGGCGCGCTGCTCCTCGGCGCCGAGCCCCTCGTGCAGGAAGGCGATGCCGTTGGAGACCATCTCGAGCAGCGCCGGCTCCTTGAGGTGCTTCGCGAAGGGGGCGATGTCCTCGGGCGCGGCGTGCAGGAAGCGCTGCGGCACGTCGTCGGCCGTGGCGTACGTGAGCAGGTCGATCGCCGTCAGCTGCGCCTGCTTGGCCGACGGCACGAAGATGATGGCCGGCCGGTCGGCGGCGTGGTTGACGACGGCGTAGTAGGCGGGCTTGGACATGGCGAGCAGGCGCGACGGCACGTGCGCGATGTCGAAGCCCTGGATGTGCAGCTCGAGCGGCACGGGCCGCACGTTCGAGTGGAAGTTGAAGATGCCGTGCGGCGTGCAGCCGACCCACTCGGCCAGGTCCTTGGCGTTGGCGAGCGAGGTGGAGAGCGCGACGATGCGGCAGCGCGACTCCATGTGCGACGAGATGTACCGCATCCGCGAGATGACCACCTCGAGGACGGGGCCGACCTCGCCGCCGATGAGGTGCATCTCGTCGACCAGCAGCAGCGCGACGCTCTGCACGTTCTTGCGCTGCTTCCACCGGCGCGAGAGCAAGTCCCACTGGTGCGGCGTCGCGACGATGAGCGTGCCGCGCTCGAGCAGCTTCAGGTCGCTCGCCGTCTCGCCGGTGAGCTGCACGACGCGCACGCCCTCGAGCGCGCCGAGGGTGCGGCTCCACTCGGCGTACCGCTCGTCGGCGAGCGACTGCAGCGGCGCGATGTAGACGCAGCGGCCGGCCGGGTTAGTCTGCAGCAGCCGCAGGTAGGCGAACTCGGCGCAGATGGTCTTGCCCGAGCCGGTGGGCGCGCCGATGAGCACATTCTCGTCGCCGGCGAAGAGGGTGGAGAAGGTTTGCGTCTGGATGGGGTTGAAGTGCGAGAAGGCGCCCTCGTAGAGCGAGGCGTAGGCGCCGAGCGCGGAGACGGGCAGCGGCTGCAGGTCGAGGAGCTCCGTGTGCGGCGGGTACTTCTCCGGCAGGATGAGGTGGCGGAACGAGATCGGCAGCGTCGCCTCGCACCCGAGCCAGCGGTCCGAGACGACGCGAACAAAGTACTGCGGCGGCAGCGGGTCGTAGATCGGGATGGTGAAGGTGAGCGAGTGGTCGTCCTCGGCGAACTTGGCCTTGAGGAGGAAGAGCTCCGAGTGGAGGACGTGCTCCTGGTCGACGTCCTCGACGAGCACGTAAAAGGGCTCGGCGGTGCCGTGCACCTTGGGCTCGAACTGGAAGTCGGGCGTGATTGTGAGCTCGACGCGCAGCACGGTGCGCGTGATCGGCTGCACGTGCGCCGAGAGCTCGAGCCGCGGGAACTGGTGGACGAAGCGGTAGATGGCCTTGCCCATCTTCGGGAAGCGGATGAGCTCGCCAATCTCCTGCGGCGCGAGGTCGTAGAAGCGCTCCCAAGGGAAGTCCTTGCGCTCGATCTTCTTGATGATGTCCTCGGGGATGTTCTTGAACTGGCGCAGCGGCGTCTGCGAGAGCCACATGCGCCGGTCGATCATCTTGCAAAAGTTGAGCACGCGCTCGGCGAGCGCCGCCCAGCCGCGCTTGAGCACGATCTCGTGGATGCAGCGCATGAGCCGCGCCGCCGACTGGGTGATGTAGGTCATGTCGGAGAGGAGCGAGAAGCCGTCGAGCTTGAGCTGCGAGATGTAGGCCTGCAGCAGCACGTTCGTCTTGGCCGAGGGCTCGTCGACCCCCTCCTGCGGGGCGCGTCGCGGACGCGTCACGCGCGTGTCGCGGGCGCGTGTCGGCCGAGGGCTCGCCGCCGCGCGCCTTGACGGGGATCGGGACGCGCTCGACGAGCCGCATCAGCTCCTGCTTCTCCTCCTCGCGCACCGTCAGGTTGGAGAAGTCCTTGGAGAGCGAGAAGAGGCGGAGGAGCTCGATGTCGGAGAGGGTGGGCTTGAGGTGCTCGTTGTACACCGAGATGGTCGACGCGCCGACGTAGTAGTACGCGGCGACCCGCCCGAGGTCGGTGGGCTGGAACTGGCCCGACTTTCGCTCGTACTTGATGAGCGCCGTCTTGTCGAGCTGCGTCGCGGCGGAGTGGACCATGTCGATGCGCCGCTGCTCGAGCAGCGGGTCGGACGCCTGCGCGGCACGGAGCGGGCCTGTCGCGGGGGCGCGAGCCTCGGTCTGGCGGGTGTTAGCGGCGGGCGGGCGCGCCTTCTCCGCGTCCGAGGCGCCGTAGAGGGGTGGGTTGCGCAGCATGCGAACGTACAGGTAGGTGTAGCCGAGCCAGTTGACGGCCTCGTGCGCGTTCTGCACCGTGCCGAGGACGATCTCGGCGTTGAGGTTGTCGGCCAGCTTGCCCACGTACTGCGACTCGATCGGCAGCTGCTGGTTGAGCAGCGAGAGGTAGTACTGCAGCTCGTTGTGCGTCGTGAGGATGATGCCGACGCCCTTCTCGTCGGCGCGGTTGACGTACTGCGGCCGGCCCGCGCGGCCGAGCATCTGCATCACGTCCATCATCGAGAGCTCGGTCCACGACCCCTTCTCGGGCGAGTACACCTGCGTCCCCTTGATGATGACGGTGTGGGCGGGCAGGTTGACGCCCCACGCGAGCGTCGCCGTCGAGACGAGCACCTGCGGGGCGGAGGCGGCGCGGGATGTGGGAGGCGGCGGAGGGGTGGGGGGTCGGGGGTCGTGGGGAAGGGCGGAGCTGGCGCTCCGGAAGGGGGGGGGGGGGGGGAGCACAGGGAGCGCCTGGATGTGTCCGTCGCCGAACAGGTCCTCGACGAGCGTGCGGTCGGCGCGCGTCATGCCCGCGTGGTGGATGGCGAAGCCGTACGGCAGCAGGTCGGCGAGCTCGCGGCTCTTGACGCCCTCGGCCTCGGTCTGCAGGATCTCGCGAGAGGCCGAGTCCTCGCGCAGGAAGTTGATGAGCGTGTCCTCGTGCAGCGCCGTGTCGCGGATCGCCTTGGCGGTCTTGGCGCACTCCTTGCGCGAGTGCACAAAGACGAGCACCTGGTTGGTGCCCGCCTGCTCGAGCGTCTTTTGGTAGACGATGTCGTTCATCAGCTGGAAGCGCTTGATCGCCTTCTTCTCGGTGATGCCGATGTACTGCTGCTCGAGCGGCACCGGCCGGAACGAGTTGTCAAAGTAGAAGAGGCCCTTGTCCGGCTTGACGCGCAGGAAGGTGGCCACGTCCTCGTAGTTTGGCAGCGTGGCCGACAGGCCGACGACGCGGATCATCTCCTGCGTCGTCTCGATCTGGCGGATGGTGCGCGCGACGATGGACTCGAGCACCGGCCCGCGGTGGTCGTGCAGCAGGTGGATCTCGTCGATGATGACCAGCCGCACCAGCTGCGTGTACGTCCGGTCCCCCGCCTTGCGCGTGATGATGTCCCACTTCTCGGGCGTCGTGACGATGAGCTGCGTCTGCGCGATCTGCTCCTTGGTGAGCTGCTGGTCCCCGGTGAGCTCGTTGACGGTGATGCCGAACGGCTCGAGCCGCTTCCCAAAGTTGAGCACCATCTCCTGCACGAGCGCCTTCATCGGCGCCACGTACACGATCTTGAAGGCGTCGAGGTCGAACGAGCCGTCGGGCTGGCGGTGCAGCCCGATCTCGTGCAGCAGCGTGAGCATCGCGACGTTTGTCTTGCCGGCGCCGGTCGGCGCGCAGAGCAGCATGTTCTCCGCCGAGAAGAGCGCGCAGTCGTACACGCGCGACTGCACGCGGTTGAGCGACGACATCCCTCCGAAGGCGGGCCGCGCCCATGCCGGCATGTCGTCGATCCGGACGAGCGCCTCGCCGTCGGTGAAGGGCTTCGCCTTGAGCGCGGGCACGTGCACCTCCTCGTATCCCTTCTTGGCGACGCGGAACGAGCCGGGCGGCAGGTGGCACTTGCGGTTGGCCATCAGGTGGCCGCCCGCGGCGAAGGTGATCGCCTCCAGGTCGAGCGTGTTTCGGCCGACGCGCGCCTTGCCCGCCTCTGGCACCGCCGCGAGCATGTCGGCCGTGAGGACAGACGCCTCCGCCTCCGCCTTGCGCATGCGCGCGAGGTCGGCCGTCTCCTTGCGCACGCGCGCCTCGAGCTGCTTCGTCTCGGTGAAGATCTCGTCCGTCTTGTCGCGCGCGGCGGCGAGGTCCGAGAGCACCTCGGCCGCCTGCGGCGACTCGCCAAACTCGCGGAGCAGCGCCTAGACACTTCCTAGACACTTCTTAGACATTTCCTTGTTCACACCTCCTTGGACTCGCCACACTCGCGGAGCAGCGCCTGCTTGGCCGCCTCGGACTGCGCCTGCGCCAGCCGCGTGCAGACAGCGATGCGCCAGCGGTGCTTGAGCAGCCTCCGGATGAGCTCGAACTTGTCGTAGTCGAGCAGGATGACGAGCCTGGGGGAGGAGAGGGGGGGGGTGGAGCGGTGAGGGAAGCGTGCATACTAGCGGCGGCGGCGGCGGCGGCGGCAGCGGCAGCAGCGGCGGCGGGCGGCGGCGGGCGCAGCGCGGGGTTGAATGGGGCGGGTGCGGGTGGTGCGGGCGCGGGGCTGGCGCACTTGTTCTCGCAGTCGCGCTCTTCCGCCTCGGTGAGCGCGAGGAGGACGTCCTCCGACACCTTTTGGGCGACGAGCGGGTCGGAGAACAAGGAAATGTCTAAGAAGTGTCTAGGAATCCTCCGACACCTTTTGGGCGACGAGCGGGTCGGAGAAGTACTTGCCGCACTCGCGCTGGAGCCAGTAGGCGTCGATGGTGTCGACGGGGAGCTCGTCCTCCTCCGCCTTGGCCGCCTCGCCCTCGTCCGCGATGCCGCCCGCGAGCTCGCGCTCCTGCCGCGTCTCGACGAGCCCGTCGGCGTCGTCGTCCTCCTCCTCCACGACGCCGACCATGTCGTCGTTGCCCTTGGTGCGGTGCTCGTCCTCGGGGTTCTCGTCGTCGTCCTGCGCGAGCGGGGGGGGGGGAGGGGGGAGAGTTGAAGCGACGGGGTCGGAGAGATTGGCCTGGTGAGGGCTGGGCAGGCGCGAGGAATGGCCCCGGGGGGGGAAGCGAGGGAAGCGAGGGGAGCGAGGGGAGCGAGGGGAGCGAGGGCGGTGCTTGCGCCTCGTCGAAGACGACCGCGACGCCGAGCTCGTCGTCGAGCTTCTCGTTGCCCGTCGCGTCCTCCGCCACGTAGTCGGTGATTCGCTTGCCCGCCCCCACCAGCCGCCTAAGCCGCCAGCCAGGCACGGGTGAGAGGCGGCGGCCGGACTGCTGCTGCTGTAGCGGGCCGCAGGGGGAGGAGAGCGAACCCGAACGTCTCTTGCGGCAGCGAGTTGACAAGCTTCTCGATCTCGCGCTTGCGATCCGGGTCGGTCAGGCCGTCGTCCTTCAGCACGGCGAGCACCTGCCAACCGGACGCAACACCCTTCACACATCCGCGCTCCGGCGCAGCCTCGCGCAGCGCACAGGAACGGAGGGAGGGAGGGGGCGAGGGGCGAGGGGGGTGGAGGGGGGGGGGGGGGGGGGAAAAGGGGAGGGGGTGACCTCGTCCGCCGCCCCGCGAAGGATGTCGTGCGGCTGGTCGCCTGAGACGCGCGCCACGACGGCTCAGTGCAGCCGCCCCCGCGAGAGCAAGGCCGCGGCGGGGGCGCGGGGAGGGGGCGCTTCACGCGCAGCGGCGCTCGGCGTGCGGGGCTGCGGCGGTGCGCAGGGCACCGAGCTGGGAAGAGAGGAGGTGCAGCAGGTCCTCGTACGCTTGTCGCGTCTCGCGCGACCGCGGCCGGTACGAGTCCATGTCGTCTCCGAGACCGAGCACCGACTGCTTCGCCTCCTCGCGCCGGCTGCGCTTGGCGGCGGCGGCAGCATCGTCCTTCTTGCGCTTCGTCCCGGCGCCGCCCGTGTCGGGCTTCGCGTGCACTACCTTGTCACCGAATTTGGTGCCCGTCAGATAGTCCTTCAGGCTCTCCGGCTCGCCCGACGGCTCGTCGACGCGCGGGCGGTGGTCTCCGGTTGTCAGCACGAGGTTGGAGTTGGCGCGGTACTCATACTGCCGGTACTTCGATACCTGCTCCGCCCCGCGGGTCGAGTCGGTCATCCACGGGACGCTCAGCAGGCGCGGCGACGCTTCGCAGTCAGTGAGTGCGCGCAGACTGCAACAAAAAAAGAATTTTACAACAAAAGAATTGTGAGTATAAGAGGGGAAGGCGCGCTCCGCAGCCGACGCCGAACCATCGGAAATCGAACAGGAGGGAGGACCGGGAGGAGAGGGGAGCCCCCTCGGATGGGGGGTGGGGAGATCGGGCGGAGGAGCCCTGAGTGGCGATGTCGGGTGAGAGTGTGCGTCATGCTCGTGTCTAGTGTCTGGTGTTTACTAGCTCCGAGTAGAGGGGGCGTTCCGCCGCTAGGGGACACCCAAAGCGCAGAACTAACCCTCGGAGACCCGTGTTTACTTTAAGGCCCTTGCCCTGCGAATGCGCACCCCCCCTAGCTAGGGGTCAGGGCTCTCTAGCCCGTAGCCCGATCCCGATCATCCGGCCCGCTGGATGCGCTTCTCAGCTCACCGGCCCTGGATGTGAGGTTACCGACTGCACTCCAAGTGCTCCAAGTCAGGTGCGCGAGCCTGAGTCCCTTGTCAGGAGCAGGAGAGCCCCACCTGTGCCCCTGATCGTCCTTCCAAAAGCCTGCTCGTGCAGGTGGGGACCCTGTCCTCCTCCCCCATCCTTCGGACCCTGTTGGCTCTGTTTTCTTTCTTTCTTTCTTTGGCACAAAAAGGCGCGGACTGGCGCGGACTGGTACACACACCAGCACACGAATGAAAAAAGAATGTCGTCGTGCGGCGCCGTCTCCAATATTCCCTTGGGCTGTCTGTTTTCTTACTTTCTTTACTGCATACTGGGCACGGGACTGGCACGCACCTTCGAGTGCCCCGCCGCAGTACAGACTGTGGGGCCGCAATATATAGTACATGCACATGCTGTGGGGCGCATGCCGCATCAGGGCGATGCGCATGCTGTACCGAGGGCATGGCGCATGCGCATCGTCCGTCGAGAAGGCAAAACGCCAAAGAGGCGGGCCCTCTTGTAAGGAGGGCCTTAAACCAGCACCTTTCGAGGCTCGCTCAGCCGGTCCGACCGGCCGGCCAGCAAGGTCAACCGCCAGCTGGTCGCCGCCAGGACCAGCGACAAGAGGAGCAGGTAGCACTGCCGTTGCCACGGCTGGACGCCGACAAGGCGGGTCAGGCCAAAGACGGCGGCGGCGCAGAGCATGGCCATCCGGTGGACGAGGGTATCGATCAACGGCCTCCCGAGCCAGAGCGTGTCGCTGTGCAGGTCGCAGTAGAGCGTGTCGAGCGCGGGCTTGGTGATCGTGTAATCGATGACCTTGCGCAGCGTGTCCAGCACGAGGAGGACTTCCAGTCCCGGGTGGACGATCGAGGCGATGAGCCCGGTGATCATAGTCCAGGGCATGACGGCGAGCAAGCCGCGGTAGCCGCACGTGCGCATGAGCCGCGCAAATAGCAGCAGCTGCACGGGCAACGTGACGCAGCCGTATGCCAGCTGGAGCTTCACCACCGTTGCGACTCGCTCGACGTCGGACACGAATGCGGTGGTCAGGAGCTCGGAGCGCTCGAACCAAATGCCGTGGTAGATCATGATCGACACAAACTTGTAGCAGGCGAGCCAGCGCAGCGTAATGTTCCTCGCGATGATGCACGCGCCCCCAAACGCAGAGGAGCAGCACGCCTCCGCCCGCGCCGCGCTAGCCTCGCTTGCCGAGCTCGCGTCGTCCGGAGCATCGCAGTCAGCGCGGCCTCCACTGTCGTCACCACGGCCGTCGTGACTGCCGGCAGCGCGGCACGCTTCCCCCCCACTTCTGTCTTCACCCTCCCCGCGAGCGCACGCCGAGCGGCACCGCACCAGGTGCGTGGTGGCCTCGTACGTCGCGCACGCGACCAAAATAGTGGGGGGACCAAAGCGCTCAAATAGAAGCCCTGCCGCAACCGATCCCAGCACCAGCCCCGCCTGCTTGCCGAAGAAGATGATGCCGTACACCCGCTTTGCCTCCGGCCGCGTGTGCACCGACGCGAGGAACGAGTTGTAGAGCGCGGGCGGGTAGGTGGCGATGATGCCGCCGTAGACGGCCAGGCAGTAGGCCACCGCACGTCTGTGCGGCCATGCCGTGGCGAGGGCCTCCAAGGCGAGGAGCATCCCCGCCATGAGGCGATAGGCGATGCCGATGAGCTCCGTGGGCAGCATCCGGCGCTGGGCGTACTGATATAGAGGGTTCACGGCGAACATGAGGAGGGTCTGGCCGGCGGTGACGAACGGCAAAATATCCATCCCCAGGCTGAGCGCGACCACCTCGAGCAGCGGACTCGCAATGCCGTACGCAAAGATGACTGCACAGCCGCCGATTGCCGACAGCCTCAACGGGGCGACGTCAGAGGGATCGAGGTTGAAGGCGCTGCGCAGGCCCGCCTGGAAGGCCCCGTCCGGCCCGAGCGCCCGCAGCGACGGCCGCAAGTCGCTGCTCGGTTGCTCATGTCGCGATTGTGCATTTGCTAGAATTTGCTGCGCGGGGGACGGTCGCTGATTAAATTGGCAGTCAACGTCAGTCAGTCGTCAACAAAACGAGCTTTTCGGGCGGGCGTGGCGGGGGCGCCCATGTTTCTTACGTAAGGGCTTGTGAGGTGAGTGTTAGGTAGGTAGGTAGAAAGGTGAAGAACAGTCAGGCTCGGACTGGACACCAGCGCGGTATGGGTGGACGCGGGACAGATGATGACGACACGCACGAGCGACACACAGACACAAAGTGTTATTAGATTCGCTCTCCGCCAGCGCGCGGGAAGAGCACTTTCGAGACCCCGCTGGAGCCCCCTCGAGCGAGCCCACGTTGGATTGATTAGTTACTCGAGTACGTGTGAACGTGTGCCCACAACGAAAAGATCGGACTTGACACCGAACAACGGAAAAAGAAAAATACCTGTTGTCTCTATCAGCCCACTCCTCCCCCCAGGATTCGAGCTGTTTGGGGGGAAGGGTAGGGGTGGGGTGCCGGGTTTGGAGTAGGGGGGGGGTAAGGGGTTGTCAGCGGCGAGGCCCGACGGAGGGTAGGGGGGTAGGGGGTGCCGGTGTGAGGTGCGTGTGGGCCGAACTGTGAATTACGTTACTGTGAATTACGTTACATCGCTCATAGGCGTCGGAGTTTATGCCGGGGTCGTTCGATCATCTCCACCAGTTGGAGGCCGATGGTTGCTGCCGCATTGTCTCGGCGGCCGACAAGCTCTCCAGCTCGTGCGCAGCTCGTGCAACGGCACCCTCGCATCGCGCATTGAGGAGCTCGACGTGGCGATGGCGCCTCACGTTGTCCGCATGATGGAAGGCCGCGCACCGCCGCTTGCTGCTTTGCGCGGAGATGGGCAAGACGTGAGCAAGCTTTTGGCGCTCAAGAAGGTCGCCGTCGCGCTCATGCGTCATGGCCCGAATCCACATACCACAACGACCGACGGCGGACCTGCCCGCCTTGCAGCCCATGTTTAGGCGGCGGGCCTTCTCTTCGCGGTGTTGCCGAAGGCGTAGGAGTGGCCAACGGAGGCGGGCGTGCCGCCGCTCGAGGCGTTGCCAACGCCCGCCGAGGAGGTCTTGAGGAGGGGCGTCCAGAGCTTGACTTCATTCACCTCATCGCATCCTCCCGGGCCAGCGTGGGGTTCCGCGAGGTCGACCTTGTACCCCTCGTTGTACTGCCGGGTGAGCTCTGGTTTCTCCTTGTCACCGTGCACGACCGGCGCGTTGGCCGGGGCGCGCATCGCGTCCGCCCAGGCGGCGAGGACGCCGTCGTGGGGCCGCCGGTGGTGGGCCTTGTTGTAAAGGTAGTCGCCGAAGAAATCGACTGGCATGCCCCGCTCGAGCGCGACCTGAAGGGTGGGAAGCGCCACGGAGAGCCAAAGGCCGAGCTTCCGCTGGAGCTCGTCCTGGAGGGCGTCGGAGGAGAGGGCGGTGGCGTACGTGCCGTCGACACGGACCTCGAGGGCCTTGCCGGCGAAAGGCGTTGAGGCGGAGATGAGGCGCGTGACTTCGCGGTTGTTGACGGCGCTGTCTCCGAGGGACGGGCGGGTTGTTCTTGACGTGCACGTCCCGCGCCTTGACGAGCTCCTGGTGCGCGTACCAGTCCTTGTGATTCTTGCAGATTTTTTGCGAGCCAGCCGTGAGAGACGATCTTGAGTGGGGAATAGGTGGTTTGATTGATATAGAAAGGAAAAACACTCATAAAATGCACAGGAAAAAAAACCCCAGCGGGCCAATTTGCAACCTCAGCCCGATCAATGGCTTTGCTGTCGCTCGCGCCCTCGTGCTTGGGCCTCGCGACGCCGCTGCGCGCGGCGCCGCCGCTCGCGAGCTCGCGCGCCGCTGCTGTCTCCATGGACTACTCCAAGGAGGAGCTCGCCACTGCGCTGAACCCGGTCGTCGGCTACTTTGACCCGCTCGGCCTCGCGACGGCCGACTTCTGGTCGCAGGGCAACGAGGCGACGTGGGGCTGGCTGCGGCACGCTGAGATCAAGCACGGGCGCGTCGCGATGTTCGCCTTTGTCGGCTACATTGCCCAGTACAACGGACTCCACTTTGGCTTCCCGCTCAGCCTGCCCGAGTCGCCGTCGTACGCCGCGGGCCTGACGCCGCCGGAGCAGTGGGACGCGCTCCCGCTGCTCGCAAAGGCGCAGATCTTCACCTTCATCGGCTTCCTCGAGGTGTGCCATCGGCGCTCCCGAACCGCGGCGGCCCTCTCCCGGCCAGCCCCCGAGCGGCGCCGTCCAACCCGCCGGCGCGCCTTGTGTGGCCTTCCTCACCCCTCCCGCACTGCTCCCGCGCGTTAGTTCTGGAGCGAGCTCGGCATGGAGACGCACTACATGAAGGGCGGCAGGCCGGGTGACTACCCTGACTTTCCCAAGGCGGGCGTCATCCCCGTCACTCCCGTCAAGGTGCGCGCGCCCGCCGCTGCGGCGGCAAGCGGTCCGAGGTGGCGATGACCCCCGCGCCTCCCGATCCGCGGCGCGCGCAGGTCTTCAACCTGTACGACCCGTTTGGCTTCGCGGGCAAGAGGTCCGAGGAGCAGAAGGCCAAGGGCCTCCTCGCCGAGATCAACAACGGCCGCGCAGCGATGATCGGCATCATGGCGTTCCTCGCCGAGCAAAAGATCCCCGGGTCCGTGCCGTGGGGGCCGCACCTCAAGCCGTACGCGGGCGAGGTGATGGCGCCCTTCATGTCGTGAGGTGCGGCGACCGCGCGCCGGCGCGCGGCCAGGCGCGCTCTCTCCCCCTGACTCCCACACATTAGAGCGAGCGACAGACCGTCTGTGCCGATGTTTGTGTCTTTTGCGCTGCAGTTATTTCCCTAGATACAAACGAGAAAACCACCTCCCCGCTCTGGACGCAGCAGCACGCAGCACCAGCACGCAGCAGCACCGGCGGCCGGCAATTACCGGCTTCGGCTAGAACCTGCGGGCCGCTGGCCCCCCTGGGAGGTAGAGCTGAGTCAGAGAGTAGAAAGAAAGAAATAAAACACACAACACAAGGGAGGGATGGGCGAGAGAGCGCACGCCGCCGCTGAGTCAGAGAGTCCTACGGGATTTTTTTTGACCGCACTGCCGAGGAGCAGAGATCTGACTCACCGCTTTGGCCACGCTGCTGCCATTTACGTATGCCGCTCGACGGCGCCGCACGCGCCGCGCTGATCGCGCTCATCGAGAACAGCGCCAAGCAGGCTGTCTTGGAGGGCAGCGGCATGCCAAAGCCACCGTCCCTCGCGTCCGCCGCCGAGACGCAGTACGTGCCTCCAACCGAGGCGCTGCTGCAGGGCGCGCGGGTGAACAACCCGGTGCGCACGGTGCTCGAGCTGCGACCGCGCGCGGCCGTGACGCTCGAGGGCAGCGTCTCCGTCGCCGATGCTGCGAAGCGGATGGCGGCCGCCAACGCCGACGCGGCGCTTGTGCTCGGCGACGAGGACCGTGTGGCGGGCATCTTCACGGACCGCGATTTGGCGTCGCGCGTGCTCGGCGCGGGCCTGGACCCTCGCCGGACCAAGATCTCGGCCATCATGACCGAGAACCCGCGCTGCGTGATGGACGACGAGCCCGCGCTCACGGCGGTGATGCTGATGGTCGACGGCCGCTTCCGCCACCTGCCGGTCGTCGACTCGACCGAGTCTGTGGTGGGTCTGCTCGACGTGGCAAAGTGCCTGCATGACGCGATCTCGCACTTAGAGCTGCGCAACCTCGCGGGCGGGCAGCGCACCGCGGGCGAGCTCCTCCGCGCCACGGCGCCGCCCGACTCGACGGTGCTCGCAGACGCCACCGTAGTCGCCGCCGCCAAGCAGGCCGCGTCGCGCAAGGGCGGGGCCGCGCTGGTTGTGCGCTCCGAGGGGGGCGGCGCGCCGCGGGTGGGTGGGATCGTCACCCCGAAGGACTTCCTCAACCGCGTCGTCGCCGTCGGGCTCGCCGCGGCCCGCACCCGCGTCGGCGACATCATGACTCCGTCGCCCGCGTGCATCAAGGAGAGCGCGACGCTGCTTCACGCCCTCCACCTGCTGCAGGGGTCCGGCTTCCGGAACCTGCCCGTCGTCTCGGAGGCTGGCGAGCCGCTCGGCGTCCTCGACGTCCTCGCCGTCGTCGAGGGCGCGCTCGAGGCCGCCAGCTCGACCGACGCCCCACCGACGCCAGCGAGGCGGCCGCTGGCGCACTCCGCCGTCGGCGACTACGCGCCCGCCTCGGAGGCGTTCACGCCCTTCGGCTCGCCGCTCGCGCCCGGCTTCTTCCTCTTCAAGGCGTGCCCCCTCGCCCGGTCCCCTCCCCGCCCGGCCGCCAGAACCCGTGACCGCCCCGGGCCTCCGTCGCTGGCCTCCGTCTCTGGCCTCCGCCTCTGGCCTCCGCCTCTGGCCTCCGCCTCTCCCAGCCTCCCCCTCCGCCTCCCCCCCGCCCCTCTCTCTCCCCGGCAGGTGGTCGTCGTCAGGGAGGGGCGCGAGAGGCTGCTGCGGCTGCGCTGCGCCGAGGAGTCTCTCTCCGGCCTCGAGGGGGCGGTGAGCTGCAAGAGAGGCAGACACAGACCGACGGACCAGACCCCCCTCTCCTCGAGACTTTCCTCTCCTCGAGGGCTGCAAGCTGCGCGAGGGCGATGCGGGCGGGAGGACCCGAGGTTGTCCGAGGGTAGGTGGGCCACAAGCTGCGCGACGACCCTGCCGTGCGGGGCTGCAGCCTCTCCCTCACCGCGCACATCGACGACGCGACCGAGCCGCAGCTTCTCTCTTGCGACGCCGACCTCGCCTCCGCCGTCGCCGCGGCCAAGGCGTCGGGCCGCGACCGGCTGCTGCTCCGCGCCGAGTTCGGCCCCCTCCCCGCCGCGCGCCGCGCCCTCTTTGCCGACGGGGCGGCGCCGGAGGCGGTCCGCGCCGCCTCCCTCCTCCCCTTTGCGCTCGGCGCCGCAGCGGCCGCCGCCGCGGGAGCAGTCTACCTCGCCCGCAGGCGCTGAGGAGGCTCGGGCGGCCCAACCCGGGCCGAACGTTTAGTAGGGATGGGCGAGAACGTGTAGTAGGGATGGGCGACGAGAGAGAGCCCTCGCTGCTCGCTCCCTCTCCTCTCGCCCTCCGTGTGTACTATTCCGCGGCAGGCACGAACCCACCACCACGCGACGGACACGACGGAGCACGGACCACGGTGCATGCACCGAGATTGTGCGGATTGGCGTGGCCCGCGGCCGAAGCTCTTAGTATAGACGCGCGTGGCGTGTGCACGATATCGGTGTGATGGAGTTGGGCCCCCGCCACATCGCTTTCACGCTGTTTATCGTATCGTTTGCGCTCGCTATACCCAATACTCTGGAGTCTGGTGAGTCTGATCTCTGGGTATACACGGCACCATGCGTAACACCTAACACGGTACTCTCACTCGGTCTCGCGCCCCACTCGAGAGCGCGATATCGTCGTATCGACCTCATACACGGCTCTAGGCTCTACGGCCTCGACGCGCCGCGAAAGCGTGAGACTGAGCGCGCACACAGACTCTAGACATCGCCGCGGACACGACCTGGTACTAGCTCCTACACGTACAGCGGACCCCAGCCGCGGACCTCAAAACCTCCCCTCGCGAGTCGCACTGTCACACGGCTCCGTGGCCAAACCCGCCCCCGCCTTCATCCGAGGGCGCGCTCCGCAAGTCTAAGCTGGTGTGCTGCGGCGGCGGCGGCTGCTGGGCACGCAGCTGCTCCGCCGCCGCCGCCTGGAGGTGCTGCGCCGCCGCGGTCCGCGCCGACCGCGTGGGGTCGGGAGCTGCGGCGGCGCCGTCGGCCGCGGGCGGGGCGGGCGCGGCCGCCGCAGTGCCGAACGAGGAGCTGCGCCGTGGGGTCGTCTCGGGGATCATGCTGACGCAGACGGCGCCGCCGGTCCCGGTGGACATCGCGCGGGAGCGGAGCCGCCCGAGGCGCGGCGTGGTCGGCTTCGCGCTGGCGAGCGAGGAGGAGCGGGCGACGTGCGTGGCGACGTGATGTGCCGTCGTGCGCGCGCCGTCGAGGCCGAGGAGCAAGAGGATCGACTTTGTGAGGGGCGGGAGGTACTCGTCGCCGCGCCGCATCGTCGACGAGGAGACCGCGACGGCGGCGCGCCGCTCGTCGGTCTGCGTGAAGACGGTGAGGACCACCTGCTGCTGCCGCGCCGAGAGGAGGCGCAGGTTGCAGCCGTGCCGGCGCGCAAACTCGACGAGGTAGAAGACGCCGATCACGCACCCGACGGCGACCGTGGCGCCGACTTGGATCTTATAGGCTAGCCACTCGTCCGCCCGCGTCGGCGGAGAGGGCGGCGGAGGGGGCGGGAAGGCCGGAGGGAAGGACGGCGGAGATGCGTCCGCGCCCGAGCCGAACTCGCCGGCGGCGCCGGGGAAGGCGGCGCCGCCAGAGGAGGCGGCGCCGGCGGCGGCGGCGGCGGCGGCGTTCGCCTCTGCGGCGTCCTCCGCCGGGAGGGAGGAGAAGAAGAGACAGGCCATCAGGGCGTGGAGGGCCATGCCGAGCGGGAAGACGACGAGGCAGAGCGCGCGCGTGAGGGCGGCGTCGGTGCGCGGCGGCGGCGAGAGGCGGCGGAGCAGGTTGTACCGGTCGATCCACCCGGCGAGCCAAAAGTAAAAGGCGGCGAGCAGGTAGAGGAGGGGGATGGCGGTGCCGAACATGAGGGCGAGGATGATGAACTTGCCTGCGAGCTGCACGCGGAAGGCGAGGTAGATGTCGGCGTCGTCCACGTAGAGCCGGTCCATCTGCAGCTGCGTCTTTGCGCGCGGGGCGAGGCAGAGGCGCGAGAAGAGCCCGCCGACGCGGACCCAGTCGAGCACGACCTGGATGAAGATTGCGTCGCCAAAGAGGATGTTTGCGATCAGCGCGCCGCCGGTCGTGTACCACGGCCGCGCGAACAGGTCGATGCTCGGGTCGAAGAGGAAGGCGAGCGAGGCGAAGACGGAGTTGTAGACCTGCCGGAGGGGCGAGAGGGCGGGCAGGGGGGTCGGGGGAGGGCGGCCCGGGGCGCCCCGGGCCTCTGCGACGTCGCGGCGGGCTCGGCCTGGAAGAAGACCAGCTTCAGCATCACGGCGAGCTCCTGCGGGGAGGGGAGGCGGCGGCGGCGGCGGCGGTGACGGCGGCGAGAGGCGGGGCGGAGGTGGTGGCGGAGGCGGTGGCGGAGGCGGTGGCGGTGGGGAGCGGGAGGGGTGGGAGGGGCGGGTCGCCTTCCCGGTGAATGTGGTGTGCCGCTCTAGCTTCTCCGCGAGGAGGGGGACCGAGACGAAGAGCATCACGTTGCCGAGGATGACGGGCAGCATGACGGACAGGTTGACGAGCAGCGAGAGAATCGTGCCTGACGCGGGGGGGGGGGAGGGGGGGGAGGGGCGGGGCGGCGGTGAGGCGGTCGCGTGCAGAGAAGAGGGGAGAGCGGCCTCGCTCCGGCCTCGCCGGCGCGCCTCGCATCCCATCCCCGAGCGTGAGCGAGTTGAGCACGTTCTTGCCTAGAGGGGAGGGTCCGAGGGCGGCTCTGCGCAGCCGTCCCCGGGGAAGGAGCGGGAGGAGGACCTCGCTCGCCCTGGATGTAGCAGACGACGGAGATGATCGCGGTCCCGAAGGAGGCGACGACGAGCATCACCCCCGTCGACGCGAGCTGCCGCCGCCACCTCTCCCGCCGCGTCACCTCGAGGTTCTCCCACTTGACGTCTGACGGCTCGGGTGCGCGGCGCGCGGCGAGGCGGCGGCCGCAGTAGGCGCGGGTGTACGAGGGCGAGCTGAGGGCGGTGCGCGCGTGCGTCGCCTCCTCGGGCGAGGAGAAGGAGACGAAGGCGAGGCCGGTGCCGACGTGCCGCCGCTTGACCATCGACAGCGACTCGCGGTCGTGATCCGCCTGACGGGAGGGAACCGGCTCCGCTCAGCGACAGGATTGACGAGTCGATTGGCTGGCTCGCGGGCGCGGTCCGCCAGCGCCGCCGACGCCTGCTGCACCGCCTGCCGCAGCAGCAGCAGCCGCTGCTCGCGAGCCGTCGCCGCGGCGGCGACGCTCGCGCCGGGCATGTACGGGTTGCCGCCTGGGGGAGAAGGGGCTCGGCGCCGGCTTCACCGAGGGGGAGGCAGGGCGGGGGAGGCAGGGCGGGGGAGGCAGGGCGGGGGTGGGGTGGCAGGGCGGGGGAGGCAGGGCGGGCTGCCTGGCTCGCCCGGCGCAGAGCGGGTCGACGAAGGGGCCGAGGCGGCGGAGGGCGGCGGCGGCGGCGTCTCGCCCAGGCCGAGCCCGCGCCGGAGGTGCCCGAAGCCGGCGAGGAGGGGCAGGCGCCAGCCGGAGGAGTGGGGCGCGGTGCGGGCGAGGAAGTAGGCGGCCTGGCACGGGCCCGGCGGAGCGCCGTCGGTGAGGAGCAGGCAGTTGGCCAGTCGTGTCTCTAGCAGGAGGGTGTCCGGAGGAGGGGGGGGGGGGGTCTCTCTCTGGCCCTCTGCAGGGCGGGGGCGGCGCGCCTGCGCGTCGTGCAGGCTCTGCAGCAGCGCCTGGCGCGCGGGCATCCGGAGCAGAAGCTCGCGGTTGGCGAGGGCAACCACGGAGTGGCTCACCGGCCCGAAGTCCGCGAACCAGCGGCCGAGCTCCGCCGAGCTGGTCGCGGCGGGGGGGAGGCCCGACACGAGGAGCGTGTGGTCCGCCTGCATCGGGGAGGAGGGGCGGCGGGGCATCAGGGAGGGGCGGCGGCGGGGCGGGGCGGAGTCGCAGGCGGTCGGCGCGAGGCAGGAGGTGGCTACGAGGTGTGTCCGGGGTGGGAGGTGGAGGCGTCTGGGAGGAGGCGTTGGAGGCGTTCTGGAGGTGTCTGGTGTCGGCAGGTGTGTTAGCGGTGTGGCGGGTGTCAGCAGGCGTCCGTGAGACGTGTCTGCGGCTCCCGCCTGCGTCACGTCGCTCTCCGAGCGGGACGCGGCCTCCTCCTTGAGGGTGATGTCGAGGCCGGCGAACATGGCCCAGGTGAAGACGGCCGAGACGAGGACCTCCACCGCGCCGTACGACGAGTTGAGCGTCGACGCGTTGCCGAGCGTCGTCGCCGTGAAGATCCGGTTGAGCAGCGTCCCGTGCTGCGAGAGCAGCTCGCCGCCAGAGACGTTGTGGATGAGGTTGGCGAGGGAGAGGGTGAATGCGACGAAGAAGGCGAACTGCATCAGCTTGCACCACCGCATGTAGCAGTACACCCCGTCGCCAAACACGCGGAAGCAAGCGAGGTCGCACGACAGCGGCAGCAGCCGCCCCTCCTGGTCGCGCGGCAGGAGCGAGCGGGCGTACTCCTTGGCGCGCTGCAGGTCGGGCTGCGCCACGGCCCGATTGAGCAGCTCGCGCACCGCGCGCCGGACCACATAGCCGCGCCAGCGCGCCTGGACCCGCACGATGAGCCAGCCGTCCCGCTCCAGCTGAGCGCGGCGCGCGAGGTTGCGGCGGACGACGTCCTGCAGCGGCTCCTGCGACGGCTGCCGAGCGTCCATCGAGACGCACCGCGACGTCGGCAGCGGGTGCACGGAGAGCAGCGGCTGGGAGTGACGCGGCATTGGGCCGCTGTGGAGGTCCGTCAGGGCCAGCCGGCTTCCTTCCGCGGGCCGGCGTTTTTTTCTCTGTGACTAGCATACCTTGCGCGCACGCGCGCCAAATTTGTTTTTCTGTCTGCAACAACAGCCCGAGGGGTGAAATGTCTTTGTTGTCTCTGTAACGAAGGGCCCACCGCTCCGCCTACGCCGGCGATGACCCTCTCGGCAGAGCGACATCGCGACACGCGAGCACCGGGCAGAGAAGGGGACGCAGAAGCGGTTGGATGGAGAGGCAGCCGGCGCACGAGGAGAGGCAGCCGATGGAGCCGACGAGGTGAGTAGACACGAGTTTACCATTCTGCCGGGGGGGGGGGGGGGGGCGCAAACCCTCCCCACCACTGCTACTCTGTACTGCATGCAACTCAGCAGTGGTCGCAAGCGTCGCAAAGGGCAGGGAGGCAGCCTCGCGCGCTGTCGAACGCCCCCCCGGCCCAGACAGAGGCATCACAATCATGCTCTGGCCAGCGTCTGGTGGCTCGGCATTGCGCAACACACGCCGCAATCAGCCTGAGAGCAGATGATGGGGTGGGCGCGGGTGGACGAGAGTGGAGCCGAGTTGGGTGGGAGAGGGAGCACGCACGTGCAGCGGTGCCGAGAGTGGGTTGAGATGGCACCGCCTGCGGCCGCCCGGGCGACGGCTTGCGCAGGTATGTTGTTCATGTCCTTATCCGCCGCCGCTTGGCTGCAGCAGCCAATGACGCCGCCCGTCTTTGCGAAGCGGCGTCTGGACGCGCTTGGCGGTTGACGCCGGCCCGCCACTGCGCCTCGTGCGCGTCCACCTCCGTCGAGGTCGACGCGTCGAGATCGGAGCGCATCACCGAGATGCCAGAGCCCGCCTTCGCCGACATGATTCCCCGCCCGGATAGCTCGGTGAGCTGGGCGAGAAGGAATTTTGCCCTCAAAGGAATTCTGCCCGAAAAGGAGATTTCGCCCGGAAGGCGACTTTCTTCTTTTGTAGCCACGACTTAAAGATGCCCTGCAAGTATAAGCGCGTTTGCTATTCGAAATACCTGCGTTTCCTGTACAGGAAGCGACAGCCTCCAGACACACACCTCATACACACATATGGAGCCCCTCTCTCGCCCCCCTGGCGGCGGCAGTGGCCATGGCGACGCTGACGGCGGTGGCACTCGTGGGACGTGGCGGTGACACTCGTGGCCGCGGCGGCGCCTGGGCAGCAGAGAGCTGTCGCTGCAGTGCTGGCGGCAGCTGGCGGCGGCGGCTGGATGCGGCGGCTGGCGGCGGCATTGCTGGCGGCGGCCACGCGGGGGAGGCGTTGCTGTGGCGGCGATGCAGCGCTGTCCTCGCGGCTGACGTGCGCCCGGGATAGCAAGCACTGGCAGTCTGCCGGCGCGGCCGGCGCATTCGAATGCGCCCGCCGCGCCGGCAGACTGTTGGATGGCCACAGTCGCGAAAGTGGGTGAAGTCCGTGCGGCGCCGTGGCAGCGGTGGCCAGGCGGCCCCTCTCGGTGCGCCACCGCGACCGCGTTGCGCTCTCGCGCCTCGCCATGCTGCAGGCTGGACGAGGGACATTTGTCGCGACTTTCAATAGGGAAAACGCAACGCATCTTGAATACGCCTGCAGGGCATCTTTAAGACGGGATTCTAACGCACACAACACCCACGCACCACCCTCTGCAGGGCTCCAACCCCCTGAAGGGCGCAATCCGCTCGGGGCCCTAACGCCCAACGGGGCATACTCCGCTCGGGCCCTAACCCCAGAAGGGTAGGTCCCCTGAAGGGCGCAATCCGCTCGGGGCCCTAACGTCCAACGGGGCATACTCCGCTCGGGCCCTATGGAGGGAGCTCCGCGCCTTCCCAGAGGGACGTCGGCGGTGGTTGTGCCCTAAGAGAGCCAGCAGCTGTTCTGCGAGGAGGTGCTTGAGGATTCCTTGTGAATGCGCGCGTTAGGGTGTAGGGTGGCAGAGGGTGGTGCGCGCTGGCGCGCGAGCTTTCCCAGAGCAACAGTGTGCCGTCGCCCGAAACGGAAAACCGGACACGGGAAAATATAAGGTAAGATTGCTTGACAAACAACACCTCCTTATTCAGCTGGTCTATGTCGGCTGTCGGGCCTCTAAGGCTCGCGGCCGCCGTGCTGCTGATCCTGAGCGATCCTGCGCTCGCACTCGCGCAGAGCACGCGTGCTCTGCGCCCCGTGGACGCCGCGACAGCGGAGTCCCACGTCGGCGCTGTCCGACACCCACTCCTCGGCTCGACGCTCCAAGAGCTGTCAGCTCGACCCGCTTCAAACATCTGCAGCGCGGTCGAGCCGGTCCAAGCTATCGTCGAGCACCCGACGGCTGCCGCCGCGGCTCCCGAGCCAGCCTCGGCTGCCGCCACGGCTGCCGCCACGGCTGCCGCCACGGCTGCCGCCACGGCTGCCGCCACGGCTGCCGCCACGGCTGCCGCCACGGCTGCCGCCACGGCTGCCGCCACGGCTGCCGCCACGGCTGCCGCCACGGCTGCCGCCACGGCTGCCGCCACGGCTGCCGCCACGGCTGCCGCCACGGCTGCCGCCACGGCTGCCGCCACGGCTTCCGCCACGGCTGCCGCCACGGCTGCCGCCACGGCTGCCGCCACGGCTGCCGCCACGGCTGCCGCCACGGCTGCCGCTACGGCTGCTGGCACGGCTGCTGCCACGG